TAGGGAAATATGCAAACATTCTTTTTTAGCTCAAAGAAGAAATATTTGGAATTTTTTCGCTCAGTTCTTACAGCAAAGTAAGTTAGACTGATTAAAAATGACTATTTCCCCCAAAATAATCAAGCAAAATTGATGGAAAGGAGAATTTACCTCGGACTGAGAAGCTATAAGAAGAAAAATATAAAACAAATAATAAAACGCGCTGTCATACAATCGTGGGAGAGATGACATCACGTTCAGAATGACGTTTTAGCTGACGTACACTAGCAATAGTATTAAATTGCATTGTCAATGAAAATCTCATGACAAGGTAGATTTTAGCTGAGCATACGAAACGCTGCAAACGAAAACCTTATAATTACGTAGATTTAAGATTATTTTCATCTTAGAACTAGCTTTATTCAAGGTTTTTTTCCCGCTTGAAAACCTTAAGACAACCTCGTTTTATGGTTGTTATGTAGAAGTTTTTTTTCCAAGGTTTTGGATTAGGGTAATGTGCGTAGAATAGAGCAGATTGTCGCAGACCTCGTTTTAAGGTTAGAGGGTTTACATGTAAACCGTATAAAAACCCTTTTCAGGTTTACATGAAAAGGTTTTTGTTGGGTGAAAAAAACCTTATATTGCTATCTGGGCTATCAATGATTTATTTTAAGAAAGTTAAATTGAAAAGAAAAAAAAAATTATTTTAGGAAAAGAACTAGTATCTCAAACAAACCTCTTCTTATCTTTTCTTTTATTTAAAATGGTCCTATCACGCATAATTGGTAAATTTGTTTTTACACATAATTATATCATAAAGGTTCATTTTTATTGACGCTAAATTTTATTCATCAATCCGATTCTCATAATGAAGCAAAGATGGTATTTCCGTGTCAAGAAAATTATTTAAAAAATTTGTACGAAAAAATAAGGTACTTTTGCAGGCCTTGGTGGAGGTAACCCCTAAGAACGACCGACCTCCATTAACAGTGAGTGATCGAGAGGCTTCACTCTGATGAGTTTTTTGATGTTTTTTTGCCACATAGTCACTAATCCTACGAAATCATTCAGACCGTCGCCAATAGCCCATTGTGCAGCTCTAGTGCGACGTAAATTAACAACAACATCCTACGAAATCATTGGACAATCCATTTTGTCCCATTTTATTTACTCTAGTGAAAATTAGTTGCTAGTAAGCCTTTCTAGAGTAAAATATTACTAAACTTTTTTTGGCATCATTATGGGTGAAAATATTTGAAGTGAAGTGTTTGATTGTTTCACCGGTGGCGCATTTTGGCAAACAATAAAATTTTATTGTTTTTAATGTTTAATTAGTCTCTTGTTAATGCCCTGATTAACTATCAATATGGTATGCTATATTATTTATAACAAGTGTTCTTTTAAATGTAGCTTTTTTGAAATGTGAGACTTAATTCTGTAGTAGTTCGAAAATTATGTTGTGCTGCTAATAATGTATATAATGTCGTTAATAATACTTATACTTTAATAATAATTTGTTTTACGTTTGGTACAGAAGCTGCCTCGCTATTTGCATCTATATCTATTAAAGAATTGTGTATAAGTTGTCTTAGTCTTATGATATTTTAACTAATTCGGTCATACTTTATAAGCCTATGGTTTTTATCTTGCGTTATTTATAAGAATGTTCGTCGTACTTTTGTATCTGTTCTTGACAATTTTTCCATTATTATCGCTTAAATAATAAATCTTGTAACAGTTACTGCTTTCGAACTCTTTATTTTCCTTGGTTTATGAGCAAATCCGATTAATCACTGATTAATAAAGAATCTCATAATTTCCTACACTCACATTAATGCCATCTCGAACTCTGCACTTTGCTACAAAAGATTTAGCAATAATGAAATAACCCGCTATAAAACTCATAACAATTCCAACCCATGTAAAGAAGCTTTAAAAACTATAACATATCATAAGATTTTAATTTGTAAATTACTCATAATTTATGTTAAATATATTCATAATATTAATACAGTGAAATCTCAAGGAAGGACCATCTATGCGACTTCCTATATTAAAGACTCATTTTTGGGAAGTAAAGGATTTTTTCAAAAAACTTAATGTTAAAAGAAACCTTTAAGAGAGACCATCAGAACCTTTCCCAGGGACCAGGAAAACTTCTGCTCTAAATGCTTTTCTGCAATGGGTGCAGAGATTTAGAGTTAAAAATTATATTTTTTAAAAATAGTTGATTTAGAAAAACTAAGCATCTTAATCAAACAAACCTCTCATTTATGAAGCTAAATAACTATTCTGATATCAAATGAAATGCAAACCTAAACAAAAAGCATTTTATATTTATTTAAAGTAGTTCTTTCATTCATAATTTGTTTTTACACATATTTATATCTGTAGGAATCGTTTTTATTGACGGTAAGTTTTATTAATTAATCCGGTTTTCATGACGCCAACAGAAGTGTCATTTCTGCACCAAGAAAATTACACTGACCAAAATTAAAAATTTTTGCGAAAAATTATGTACCCTCGATAACTTTTTTAAGTCAATGCAAGTAACCCCCTAAGAACGACCAACCTCCATTAACAACTATTTTACTGTGGAACAAAGCGTGTTCACTCCCAAGAGATTTCACTGATAATCAGGACCAATACCAACATAAGTAAAGAAGCTCTTAAAAGTATTGTGATATTTTAAGTTGAAAATATATCATACTTAATAAAAATTTTATAGTTATTCTGAAAGAAAAATTTTGCTCTGTACTTATTAAAAAATCCAAGCTGAGTTGTTATTTGTAAATCTAAATATCAAGAGTAGAAATTATAATAGTCTTAAGTTTAGTTTTACGGTCCCAACAAACTACTACGACCCATACCAAAATACCACTAATTTTGAGCTCTGTAATATACCAACAATTGGAAACAAATCTCAGACATCTTTCCATTTGCACGACTTCTAAAAATTTAAATTCATTTCATTAGATACTTCCATTTACATTATGGATAGTTAAATGATGATCCATATTAGATCCATTTTGTCCTTAATAAAACATTACATTCTTATTAGAAAACAGATCTTTATTACAGTCGAACTCGTTTATAACGAGCTCGGATTTAACGAGGGAAACAAGGATATTTGGTTGGATCAATGTTAAGTCTATGGAACAGACGTCGCTTTTAACGAGCAAGACCCGGTTTTAGCAAGCAATATTTTTCTGTCTGGCAATCTTTTTTCTCATCTTTCTAGTCTTTCTGTCTTATCTTTTTTTCAAAATGATATGAAATGCGCGAGTTAAAAGTAGATTAATGAAAATAATAAATGTTTTGGTAAGAATCTTTTCCTTTATTTTTCTTTCCGTTTATATTTCCTTTCCTTTAAGACTGTAGCGCAACTAGAAATTTTTTGCTGGTTTGGGGGGAGGGGTTAGTTGTCACTAAATTAAGATAAATATTGAATTAAATTAACTAATGTAATTAAAGTAAGTAAGTATCAATTAAATTTTAAGTCAACTCAATCATTTGACCTCCCCCCCCCTTCTGGTTGCACGTCTGCCTTAAGGACCCGTTTATTACGAGCACTCGGATTTAACGAGTGCATGTTACGGTCCCTTTGTGCTCGTTATAAACGAGTTCGACTGTACTGTTATTTCCATGCACACCCCCACAATAGAAAAGACATTCTGATCCTCTGGGTTCATTATTTTTAATTACCGTAATTTCTATTTATCTCTTTAAATTTTATACTAATTTTGTTCTGAAAATTTAGATAGTGACTTCTTTTAAATTATCTATGTGTTTGGTTTTTATGTAATTTATGATGAGTTATTATAATATATTATTTTTTTAGACTATCAGTAAAAATAATAAGATGATACAGCACCTGAACTACAGGATGCGTGTCACACTTCAGGACAGTAGAATTTTCATTGGAACTTTCAAAGCATTTGACAAACATATGAATCTTATTCTGGGAGATTGTGAAGAATTTAGAAAAATAAAGCCTAAGAAAAATAAAGATGCTGAAAAAGAAGAAAAAAGAGTTCTAGGATTTGTACTGCTTAGAGGAGAGAACATTGTTTCATTAACAGTAGAAGGACCTCCCCCTGCTGAAGTATGTTCAACCATTTTCAAAATAAACATTAGTTAGATGCACAGGTTTCATTTAAGTATTCAGTACAGATATTTTTTCAACAATTTTAAAAAATATATTTTTATTCATATTTTTTGCTGCATTGTATAATTAGGTCATATTGTGGGGATTTAGTATATATAGAGAGCCTTAAAACCTGAGTGTGAATGGGTTCTGTCTCATTGCATGAAAGAGAACTTCTGAATCATAATAAATTTTTCATTTGCTCTTTTGTTACCTTTAAACTATTGTGTAATGTGTATCAGGTGTCTAATTTTTAAGATGGGCAGAAATATTATTCACAGTTCTTATAATTTGACTCTAAAAAAAATAATTCTTCTCCCTGCCAAATATACCTGCAAAATGATTGCATTTTTTGCATAGAATTGTTTGCTTGCCTTAAATTAAATTTAAATTGATGATAATCTGAATTTTTTTAAATTTATCTGTATGTATTTTGTAAATCAATTTTCCATGGTTTCTCACACTTAAGACATCCATGCTTCAAATGAAACATTTATTTTTCCAATGCCCACCTGGAGAATATCCTACAGGGTTGAAAAGGCTTAAAAAAACAACTATTTTCAGGAAAAGGAGACTTTTCTATTTGCTCCTATGAAGTTAAAGTTATCGCCAGGAGTTTTAGAATATTTTCTGAAGTAAAACTTTATTTACTCAATTATAGCTAACTTTTTATTTACCATTAAATTGGTCATTTTTTAAACTGTTTAGAATTTTCGCCATTTCAAGGATAGGTTTATGAGTGATTTTCATTTTTGTAATTTCTTGTGATATATATAAGCAGAAATTAGTAATTAAAAATAATCATGGTTGATAAGTGATAATTCATATTTTTTACTTGTAATAACCCCCGTGGCAGAAACACGGCGACACAGCGACATTGTCGCAGAAAGAGACTGAGTTCTTGCAGAAAGATTTTCTTATTTGGGGAATAAAATTTTTTGGTTTGGCAAAAACAAAAGTTCTCAAAAAAGATTCTGCAGAAACAGAAATTGTTTTACAAAAAAATAATTTCGACAGAAACAGAAAATTTCTGCAGAAGCAATAATGGTTCGGCAAAATTATTTTCTTACAGAATTGTTTTTAAATAACTGTTTTTCTAGCATACCGTGGAAGGGGAAAGCACTCGTGATCCTCCGTTAATCTCCCTAGTCCGTCTCCAACACAAACAGTAACTGGATATAAAAGGGGAGACATTTTTTCCCCTTTATTAAGCTATTTTTGGGACTTTTGCCAACTTCGGCCTTTATCGCTGGCGCCGTAATTTGCTTTTTGTGTTTTCTTACGAGAACAGAGCGTTTTATATTTTTTGCACTTATGTGGAAAATTTCATGCGTAAAAAGATTTTTTCTTTTTTAAAAAAATAATGTCTAGCGAAAAGGTTATTTGTTGCTCTTATGAAGCAACAATAATTTTAAAAAAAATTTTGAACTTATTTTTCAAGGCGGCATTTCGAAGAAGAAATAAGATGGAAAATGACAATATCTAGCGATGTCAGAGATTTTTTTTTCTGCAAAGCGACAGGAAAAGAGGAAAGAAGCTTTCCACGCTACTAATATTGAAAAAAAAAAAAAACTTTATAGATTCGAACCAAATATTCTTACTAGTAGCGATGTTGATAGCAAGGATGAAACGGATGATAAAATGCCTATATCTTTTGAATTAAGCCGTCGATATAAAAAAACACTCGCAATATAACGATAAATGAAATAAAGCCTAAGATATCTCACTATCTACAATTTTTTGGCATGCGAATGAAAACCAGATTGGTGGAAAATATTTACTGGCGAAACACTTTCAAATAGGTTTCCATACGCATGTGAAAAAAATCGCATCCAATGAGTATAGCTCTAATACCGATGTTTCAGCACTGATGAAGACGATTTCGTTTCGAGATGTTGAATATTCTTGAGCGTATTGAGTAGGAAACCGCGTCTGCGTACTTCGTGTGGAATCAATGCTATATATTTACACAATATCGTGAGACTTCTGTTACAAATCGCAAGCGCTGTGTATTTTTTTCTTTCTGAACTTAATCTGATCACGAAAAAAGTTTTATTTACCTTCTTTTTTTTATAAATTTTTTTCAATAAGTCTGTACAAAATCAATCGAATCTAATTAATCTAATTGTTTTCATATAGAAATAGATTGCTTTAATTTTTTTGCTTTTAGAATTCAGTTATAGTCCATATTATTTTGATTTTGATTACTCAACCTCAATATTAATTTTTTCACCTGATTTGTTTCTGTACCTGATACAATTACTATAATGAAACATCAAATCATACTGTTTTAAGCTGATACTTCAAATTCAGTTATGTTGTTTTATAAATTTAATCTTTTTGTCCATTCTTAGCAATTTTTATAAGTTCTATCTTATTACAGGTTCTGGGTTATCTTTATTTATGCTCTAGTAAGCATTTTTGTCTGCAGATCTATACATTTACAATTCTTCTTTATTATCGAAGATTATGCACATTTAAACTTATTAAGAAATTTAAACTTATATTATGAAATGAAGAAAAAAAAATCTACATAGTTTTATTCTATGCATGTAGGCTTTTTTATAAACATGAAGTGCATCTATTAGTATAAATTCATTACACATATATTTATAACAATAAAAATATCTTGCAGAAAGATATTGGTTCTAGTTAGGTTTGTCGCAGAAAGCCAGAAAAAATTCTGCCACAGGGGTAATAACTATAAAACATATTTTCACTGTAAGTCAACAAAAAAAAACAGCATATATTTTGATTTCCTGAACTTATATTTTCTATTTTGGATTCTATATTTTCCAAAATTATAAACAAATACTTGTTAAGTTTCTTTAAAAAATATGTTGAGAAATTATAATCTACAAAGATAATAAATGAAAATTAAAAAAAAGTGTTTCAAATATTAAAAATGAAGATTTTTTGTCTCAAGACTTTAAGTTTTTTCATGTAAAGTCTTTTTTAATTTATAATATAATATATATGCAGAATTAATTTCATCATCATTAAATTTTGTGTTACTGTGCTTTATAGTAAACCAATTGTTTTAGAAATTATTCTTAGTATTAAATAACAAATTTCAAAATGTCAAAAAAATAATTTTAGAATTTATATGAATCTTTTATGATTTTTACCTTTATTACATTATTGTATGACTGCTTTTAAAGAGTAAATTTTAAGAAAATTGTTTGATAAGACATAAAAGATGTTGATAATCATAAGAAGAAAAATGAAAATTAACCAAAAATATTTGAATTAGCAAAAAGTATTCTATACATAATGGTATGATTAATTGATTAACCATAAAATTAATAGAAAAATAAATTTGAATATTAACAATGATTGATATAGAGACTAATTAAATTTGCAAAATTGTTATATTTGTTAGGAAGGTATTCCTAGAGTTCCCATTCCTGGAGCAGCTCCTGGGCCTGGTTTGGGACGTGCAGCTGGCAGAGGTGTACCAGCTGCTCCTGTTGGGGCAGCACCTGTCGGTAAGTTTATTTCAATATTTCTCTTCTAACTTTGTTAATAATACTAACTTTTTGTTTTGTTCATAGTTTTATATTTTAGGAATTATTTTCTTGTAAATCAAATAGCTTGGGAAAAGTTAGACATCTTGGAACTAGATTCTATGTTTTAATGTATATATGACTCAGTTCTAATAATCAAGTTTTCTATTTCAAATTTTAAGCTTTTGACATAGTCATGTATCACATACCTCTGTCATATTGTTATTTCTTATTGTAGTTTTATTAAATGTATGTGGAGGAGACAAAAGTTAGGTGTTACATATTTTAGAGATGCACTACGGTTTAAAATTCAGTTAAATGTTACTTTTCATTTAATAGAATTATTAATGAATTTAGAGATTTTGCCTACTTAAGCCATAAACCAGTTCGAAAATATTTGAATTTTAATAGAAAAAGAAAAGTTTTCAAAAAGGCCTTTGTTTTTTTTTTCATCGATAAGTTTTTTAAATTTCTTTCATTTGAAAAAATTAAGAAGTTAATCCAGTAAACTTATTAAACTTTATGTAGTAAATTTTTAGCTGTTTAAACTAAAAGGTTATAACTTGAAAATATGTGTCTACTACTTATCTGGATCTAGATAAATTAACTTTTTTTCTTCTCAAAATTATTTTTGGTCACCATAAAATCAACAACAGTACTATCAAACTCAGATTAGAACCAGTAAACTATAATTATAAAAGTCCTTATTAGAAAAATAATTTTATTTTTAAAAAAAAAATTCTTTTTATTTTTTCTTGCTTACTATCTAATGATAACTTTATAAGATTTGCTCTTTTTGGTGACCTATTTCAAAATTATATTGTTTGAACTCACTGAAGTATATCTTATATTAGAAATACTTATAATTTATAATAAAGCATACAAAAGTTAACTATCTCATTCTAAATGTTACAAAATAGTTATAATTTTGGTTTCTGTTAGGTTTACAAGGTCCTGTCCGTGGTGTTGGTGGACCTTCACCACAAGTCATGACTCCTCAAGGACGAGGTGGAGTAGCCGCTCCGCCACAGATGCGACCACCACCTGGACCTTCACCCCAAGTTCAAAGAATGCCTGGTCCTCCTGTACCAGGAAGAGGTGGACCACCCCCAGGAATGATGGGGCCACCACCTGGAATGATGGGACGTGGAATGCCCCCAGGACCAATGGGAAGAGGGATGCAACAACCTATGGGTGGTCCACCTGGTATGCGTGGACCACCACCAGGCATGATGAGAGGAGGTGAGCTAATTTCAAAACTTTTTTATTCATTTAAATCTGTGACAAGAACTAATGTTAAAGCAAAGTTATTTTGAGTAAAATAGAGTATATTTAGAAGAATATAGTAAAGATTATTACCAGGGTTCTTAAGATTTTTATATTGAAAAAACTTATATTTATTTCGATTAAATGTATTCATTTTAATTCTATGATTTACTTTGATAAAATATTTAATATTCCTAAAATAAGAAAATACTTATAAATTAGCCTATGATATTTCATATACCTAAACATATTAAAACTTATTTTACCACCTGCCTCAAAATATTTTTTAATTTTTGGTATATTATCTACAGTTTTAATTCTTTCTGATTTGGGAAAAATTATGGTGCTACATTATCCATTGATTAAATATTTGCTTTATTTTTAGATAAATAATCGAAGGTAGAATAACTAAAAAAAATGTGGAAATACCATAAAATAAAAAAATTGAGTTATATTGATTGAATAGTTCTTGTGAAATCATATTTTAAGAAGTCTTACATTTAAAATGAATTTCTCATGAACCGATTTTACTCCAAACCTTGGAGCGGTCTTCTGACCAAGCTATTGGAACAATATTTCCCAGGTTGCGGATACTCCCTATATATTGAGGATCAGAAATCCGAATCAATCGGGGAAAAAGCATATCTTTATTCAGAGAAAGTACGTTTTTGAGTCTGATTTCATAGCTTGAAATATTGTCCGATCTGTAGATCAAAAGTTATTTATCTGTTTTTTATTTTGCATGTAGCAAAATTTAAGAATATAAGACCCTTAAAAGTTAAGTGTAAGAACTTTAGGTTGTATAAATTTAAACTGAATTTTATACAATGCTAAAAATATGGAATAAACCCTACAATTAAGTTTGTAGACAAGAAACAAAAAAACAAAAAAATCTTTACTTTTTGTCATTTACGGTGTTCTATCAATTAAGCTTTTTAATTTTTATTAGAAAACAGTATAGGGAATCTCAGAGATTCCCATTCGTGTGTTACCTTTTAGAAAATAAAGACTTGATGAAAAATAATTTGCATGCATTGTAATAATCTGCAGTGCAACTGAGTTTTTGCTACTAGATATAATCTTGTTAAAGTCTATTTGAACAGTTAATTTTTGTTTTAATCATTTAACAACTTATTTAATTTGGTAGAATTACTGTTTTTTTTTATTTTATTAAGATAAACTCTTAATCTGTTCCAGAATTTTGTCTGAACACGTTAAAAATAATAATTTGGTTTTGCATAATTAGGTGGTTTTTTTCAGGTAGGTGTCAAACCCAAATTATTAATATGTTTTTAAACTTGTTATCCTGTCAACCACATCATAAACAATAACGAAATAGCCAGATATTTTTCAAGTGATACAAATATATCATTTTTAAAATCTTGAACGCAGCTAAGGGAAGAAAAAATTATTAAAAAAGTGTGAGATAAAGTATCCATCCTGGAGTTCTATAAAACTATATATTTTTGACACCAGATATTGACTTTAGACGTTCAAAAAATTTATTAATTTTTTTTTCCTTTTGTAGCACCCCCTCCTGGAATGAGACCACCTCACCCACCAAGAGGTTAGAAGAAAAACGATGCCTATTTTATTTTATCAAACGAAAAATTTGTCCTTGTGTATATTCTTTTGTTAAGAAAATAAAAGTGAAAAAGAATAATGAGTTTTGTAAATATGTAAGCATACACAAATTTTTGTATCATTGATTTCTTTTTATCCTTTATTCAATCAGGGTTGGAACAGCTGCGCCAAACTGCTTCAAATCTCAGGGATGAGATTTTGACGCTTTTTAGCGGATTTCTGCTTTTTTCACTTTTATCTCTTGAATTTCAGCTTTTTTTTATCAGAAATTCAGGTTTTCTAAAAATTTCACTTTTTTTTATAAGTATTTCGCTTTTTCAGAAAATTCACTGATTTTCAAGGAGAAACAGAAAATTCAAACTACATAGCTACCAATCCTTTCTTATTTTTACTTATTTTAGCTATTTTCTCCCCCTTTACACGCAGCAGATAAGATTTTCCGAATTTTTTACCCGCTCTCCAGATAAATCCAATTGTCGTAGTTCAAACGACGCTGCTTCTGACAAATCTTTTAAAGGTCCCAAACTTGGAATCTTCTAATATCTCGATTCTTATTCATGCGATTTTAATATCAAACATAGCTTTTCATATTTGCGTGTTGCGATTCTTATTCACGCGATTTGAATATTGTACGTTGCGATTCTTATTTACGAGATTTAAAAATCCGATGTTGTGATTCGTATTAACGCCTTTTTGAAAACCTATGTAGCGATTCGTATTCACTCAAGTTTAAAATTCAATGTGTTGATTTGCTCATACGGTTTATAATATCAAACATTGATTTTCGTATTTATACGTGATTTTAAAATAAGGCATAATTCTTATTTATGCAATCTAAAAATTACGTATCATGATTTGTATTTACGCTATCTAAAAATTATGAATCGTGATTTGTATTTACGCATTCTAAAAATTCTATATCCCAGTCTGTATTTTCTCATTTTCAAAATCTAATATCTAGTTTCATATTCATGTGATTTCAAAATCCATAATTGTTATTCATATTCACGCAATTTTAAGATCAACTATCGCGATTCTTGTAAGAAGTAATTTTTTTAAAAATTAGTTACTATAAAGGTGACTGTTTTTCTAACGACGATTATTAGTATAAGTAAGTGATACAACATCAGAGAAACTGGAAGGGAATATATTCAAAACTTACATTCTGTGCTTGCAAAGGAGAAAAAGTAGGATTTGTCACAAGATGTTTGAGGATGGACTAACAACTAAATATAGCAAACATAAAAGATATAGCAAACAAAAACAATCACTTAAGAGATTTAAATTTTTTTTTTTTTGGTAAAAGAGTTAATTAACTCATCAAAATTTTATTTATAATTGCTGCTATTTATGCTGTAAAATGCAAAATTTTTATCAAATAAAGAACATATATCTAAACAGTTGCTGATTGTCATGTAATTTTTCAAACTGAAATGGCAATTTTTGTATGTTAAGGAGTTACTATATATTTCTACTTCATTGTTATTGATATGTTTCAGAGGGCTCTAGTTAGAATAGACTATAATATGAACATAATGTTTCGGTCCACTGTTAAAAGTTTTTGTTTTCAATATAATTTAAAAAGTAATATTACTGATATATTTACTTTAAATCACATAACAGTATTTATTAAAAGAAATGAAATATTAATGTATATTCTCAGTAGTCTTAATTTGTTAAACCAGGTAGTTTTTCAAGTAATTGTCTCTTATGTGAACTGAGGGAAAATATGATTTCCAGCTTTATTTTTTCAATTGGTAATTTTTATTTTTGCTAAATGTTAAGTGCCAATGTAATCATTTATATAATAATAGATTAGTACACAGTTGTATGTCAACACATTATTTATTACCTTAAACTGTCTGGAATTTTTTATTAAAGGGTTGCGCTTGCGTAAAATTTACTATTGTGGAAATTCAGCTTTTTTGCCTTTTGGCTAATCTCATCCCTGAAATCTAAATTTTTGCTCCAAAATATTGATTTTTCCTAAAATTGTGCCAAGCTGCTTCAAAACTCTTATATTCATTGATCGAAAAGTACACCTTTGGCACCAAATTTGTGCATAATAAGCAGCTATTAAAATATTGAATTAAAAATATCAGAATTGGAAAAGCTATGTTGAAACAATCGGTGACGTAAATTTATGATAGAATCGTTGCTAACAGTGTCAAAAAGACCTAAAATTCAAAATGTGTGTGTCATTTAAAATGTCGGAATTAAAAAAATTTGAAGGTGATCGACAAAATGTTAAAGATTATAATGGAATCAAATGTGTTAAAAATAGTTTTTTAGTGAATCACAAACAAATTGTCATTACTCAAAAACTGAAATTTGTGTGTCAGAATACACCGTAATTATTAAAAATATGGGAATTTAAAAACCTACATGGAAATGGCCAAAAGAAAGATAAAAAAAAACTAGATCGAAATTGATGATTTGTCACGAATAGTGTCAGAAAGTGACAAATACAAAATTCACGTCTTATTTCAAAATATTTGAGATTAAAAAACCTTATTATACAGCAGAAAAATTATAAATAACTACCAAGAAAATGATCATCATATAACATGATTTTGAAGATGAAATTGACGCAAATAAAATGAGTCAAAAAGTGAAAACTCGAGTGTGAAATTCACTTGTCTTAATTAACATAGTATAGTACGGAACCGATTATCCGGAATGATCGGGACCATCGCTATTCCGGATAACTGATTTTTCCAGATTTCTGAATCGCTATAAAAAGCCGTTTTTTTTATTGTTAAACCCAACTAAAAAAAAAATATTTGGAAATAATCTTAAAAAGAAGAAAAAACGATGAAATAATATACTAATGATTATTTCCAAAATGATGATAAGGTAAACATCTTTCAAAAAAGAAAGAAAAATCCTAAAATCTTATGAGGAAAAAAAAATAATTTAAAAATGGCGGGGAAAATTTATCGAATTTCATTCCGGTTTTCTGATTTCCGGATAACGGGTTCTGTACTGTATTAAAAATATCGGAATCTGAAAAACCATATGAAAATGGCTGGGGTGGGGGGGGGGCGGACTGTATATAACTGCAGAAAAAACTCAGAAACTTTACTGGAAAATTGGCTAGAATTAACTACTTTTTTTCTGTTTAAATACATTGTGATGTGTAATCTGGATCAAAGAGTATGTACTAATGATAAAATTTTTCATCCTAAGGACAAACGAGACAAAACATCCGACAACCCTTGCCCAGAATCAATCTAGCATTGATGATATAATATATTTTATGTTGGTTAAAGTGAATTAAGTTTTGGTTTTTTTTCTCCAAATATTTCTTCTAATTATTCAAAATGAATATATTTAAATATGAATTAAGCATTTTTTTTTACGTGTTATTTATGCAGGAAACCTATGAAATAATTATGTATAAATTTACACAATTCTTTGTTATATTTTTGTTACATCTTCCTTATTTGATAATGTATTTATTTTCTGAGCTGTATTATGTATAAAATATAAATTTATCTCTATTCTGCTCCGAAAACCAAGTTTATTTATGTTCCAAAACATATTTTTCTATTCCAAAATAGTTAAGCAGCTGTTCTACCCCTATATGCCCTGTGGCCGAATTTTTTGGAGCTATATGTGACATAACTCCTAGCACTAATATCTTTCTGCAAGATATTTTTAAACAAACATATATGTTACTAATTTAAAATAACAAGCGGTTTACAGAAGAAAAAAAAGACTATATATTATAAAAAAAGACTATATATCTTTTAAAATACTTAAACAACACCCAAAACAAGTTTTAAATTCACAACCACTAGACATTAAAATAGCAATTGATTCACCTTTATCTTGTAAACAAGTATCTCCTATTTATTTTATACATCTTAACTATATAAGAAATCTGCATGGAAAGCAAGAATAGTGCAAAACATCCTGTGTTCTACCTATCATGCTACATACATTGTCAACTTAAAAAAGCTAAAATTATGTATAAGCTGTATTTATTATAAAAATAATTTTAAACATACATTACCACATGCGTTCTTAAGTTTAATTGCTATTGATAAAATCCGTTAATTTTGTCTTGAGTTTTTTTGTTTGAAATGCGAACAAAAAGTGAAATAGATTTTACTGCTTTCTATAAAAGTTAAATGGCTTTGAAAATCAATTCAAGGATATTTCCCCCATAAAATGCTTTAACAAGTTAGAAATGTTTTGAAATATTTTGGGAACTAGGGAAAGTGGATCTCAAAGAAGAGTTCGTTAAATAGAAGTCCGACTGTATATGTATTTTAAATGAACATGTAGTAATTTTTTATTCTGATATTATGGGTGATATTCTCGCATTTTGTTGGAGGGGGTACACACAAATTATTTCCTTCTCAGTTTTTAAAAAATCATGATATCCGTAGTAGTTATTGTTGAGAAAAAGATCAAGGACAAAATCATTAGAATCAGATTTCTCAAATGCGTGTTTCGTTTCGAGATTAGGTTGTTGTAATAAATAATATCGTTTAAAAACAAAGGAGAAATCAACAACTATCAATCTTAAAAAGTAAATACTTAAATGCACGATTCAAATTTTCTATAATGTTTGAAATGTATCTGGATATTTAAAATCCACTTGAAAATCAATATCAATAACTGCCAAAAATACAATCAAAACACTACATATTGTGGGTGACCACTTGGATCAGTCTACATAGGGACCGAGGGTGTGCGATATTAGGCCTTGTTACACTGTTCTACCATAAAGTGCTGACTTTGCGTGCAGGTTGTCCCCTCTGTAGAGGATCAAAATTGTGATGGCATGTTTCCAGAGCGTCGCCAAGAGCCCATTGTGCAGCTCTAGTCCGACAAAAATGATCAAATCAACTCAACAATATTTTACAAAACGAGAGAGAATTACCAACTAAAATGAGATTTTTGGTAATTTTTTAAAATGCACAACACAGCTTAAGTGTAACCAAGGTTTCGTATTACATAAGCCTTTGAATTGTTTAGAAGTAGGTGAGTAAAAAGCCTAATAGATCAAATTCACTAAACCAAGAATCATATTAAAAGATGACAACTTGAAAAAATTTATCTGCTATCCAGACACAGTTGGCATCTCCGGGGTAGTAATAAATATTACTAGATTAAGGAAAGTGCCCACTGGCCTGTGTTGGTGGCAGGGAGCTGTCCTTGCATCAGAAAGGTTCTGGGTTCGAATCCCAGGCAAGGCATGAATGTTCTTTCCTTCACTGTACTATCAGTCCTCACTGTGGGAGCTACGTTGGCCCACCTTATATGGTGCCCCTGAAAGAGAAGCCAACAAAATTGCCCTGTAAATGCCTGAATTGACAGAGGTTAACACAGTTGGGCATTGGAAAAAAAAAAGATTAAGGGAAGCAATAAATTATTTTATACAGGGCTGATTGTGTTCCGGAAAAAATCCGGATTTCCGCTAACATAGTAACATCCGGAAGTTTCCGGAGATCGAAGGTCCAGACATTTCAAAAAATCATTGATCACAGAAGTTTCTGGAAATCAAATTTTCAAAGGTTGAACTTAAAAACACAGTTTATTTTATTTGTTTGTAAGGGAGAGCCAGATACTTTATAAACTTATATTCATGATTAATATTCACTTTTTATCAGTAAATAGTTGTTATAATCATAAACTCAAGAAAGAAAGACATATTTGTAAATTTTTATTACTTCTCCAGTTCATCATAGGTATGTGTAAAATTTTAAATATATTTTAAGTAAACGAATAAATATTGAGAAAAAGGGAAAAACCTTGTTTAAATTTTTTTCAATTTAAACTGTTTTTTTTTTTTACTTGGCTCACAATTACCCCTGATTATATATTGCTTTGAAGATTAGCTTACATGACAGAGGATTTTTTACTTGTGAGTTCATTTCCAAGTAATGGGTATAGTTCTGTAATGCTCGAAATTTAAAAATTCAAAAAACTTATGGTGCTTCGTGAATATTTGCATTAAAACTCAGTCAAAATTGTTGTGAGAATTGTGTTAGACATTACTCAGATTAGGACATTGAGTTAAATTAATATTAATAAAATAAGACACAGAAACCTGTTTGAAGTTTGGCAAAAAAATTTTATTTATTGTTTTTTCAATGAAAGAATTTCTTTTATAACAAACAGTTGAATTTGAGACATTTTTCCATGTGAGTTAACTACAGAATTTATTTAAAATTTTTTCTTCAAATGCAGGTAAAGTTTGGCCATAAGCCATGATAGAATATCATATAAATCATTTTGTTTAAAAAAAAATTTTTTTTTGTCCACATCTTTAATTGCTCATATAGAAAAATGTTACAGTGTTATAATTCATTATAATTTTAAACTTTACCAAGATTTTTCTGATTATACACTAATTAACTTTCAGAAACAAACCTTGAAAAAGGAAAAAACCTTTACAAAGTTAACTAACTACGTTCTTAGTTTTCTGCCTTAACTATGTAAGAAAGTATTTTCTTTTTTGACAGTTATTAGAAATGCAATGGAATATTTATTATCTGACACTTGTGAATTAGAGGCAAAGTTTATACAGCCTTAAATAATACTTGTAAACAATAGAGAAAAAATATATTGCTTTTTTTAAGCCCTTAAAATTTTTACACTGAAGTCATAAGCAACTTTTCAGGTAAAATTAGTTGCAAGTTCAAAGAGAGGGAGAATGGATTTGGGGCCTAGATGATCAGTATTCTACTGTGTGACATTTTTTATTAAAATATTGCTTAAAGAGAAATGTGTTAATATTTTATTCGACAAAAAAGGTAGGGAAAAAAGTGGCAGATCTAGTCCGGCCAATAAATAGCAACATTTTAACATAATTAAATATGCATATATGAACAAAAACAGGATAATTGATCTCTTGCTCAGCATAGAAGATAATAGACCTAGACCAGTGATGAGATTCAAATCGTACATAATATTTCTCTAAATTTATTGAATTTTTTTTTTCAAAAAATAAAATTAATATAAAAATACAAGATTTAGATTAATATTTTTAAAATTAAAAAAAAAAAAAATTGAGACACAGATTCTTTTGATTAAATTTTCTAAGTACACTTTCGCAATACATTTTTAAATATTATTTCCATTTCAAGAATTGATACATACTGCCAACTTAATCACCATGTCTGTTTAAATTATAGGAAGTGATTTATGGAATATGATTCCCTCATTTCACAAAGTTTTATTTTCCATTTTAACTGCAATCGATTTTGACTTCACAAATGATTTATGTTATAAGCAAAGGTATGAAATTCTGGAAATTATAGCTCATTTCTCATTACTCTCTTTTAAAAAATGAACGAAAAGTGTTCCTGCTTTGCTTAAGTTGATGGGTAACGAGATTCTCTGATTGTGGCCCTTTCAGTTAAGAACATTTACACATGTACCAGTTGAATCCCAACACTGTTTCAGTAAAGAACATTTACACACGTACCAGTTGAATCCAAACACTGTTCTAAACATACTGATTGTATACTAGTTAATATAATAGCAATGGAAAATATTTTTTTAAATAGAATTTTGTAACACAAATAAGAATTTGTAACTTAGGTATATATATATTTTTTGAACCTTGGTGAGAACAGAGAAATATTGGCTTACTATGTGCAAGAATAAGCAAACCCATCAACATAAAACTTTTTATCACAGACATTTCTTTTGTGTTAAAAACACAAAATACATATTTTTTAAAATACAGATCATTTTTCTATAACAATATATCTAAGCTACATAGGGCACAATGTGCAGGCATTTTAAGGCAATTAGGGAAATTGAATTATTACTGTTAAAGATGGAAAATTGTATTTGTATGAAAAATATTTGATTTGTAAAAAAAGTGATTAGCCTGTAAAAATGAGAGGCTAAAAATTGAGACTAATTAAAAGAAATAAAATGCTAAAAAAGTTGACTAACAAACAAATGCAAATGAAAAATTTGATTTAAAAAAAATCTAATAAATAAGATTAATTTTATACATATTCTGAATCAAAAAATTGCTTTTCTGTTCGCTTGCGAGTTATTGTTCTTTCAATCAATTTTTTTATTTCTGACACAACACACACAGAAGATGTCAAAGCAACAAGCATCAGAATATCTAAAAAGAAAGTAAAAATTATTTTACGAAAAATAAATGAAACCAGCAGCTTAAAAAGTGATAACTTTTATTGAATGTAATTATAGAACATAAAATATTTATATACATTCATTTAGAATAATTTTAAATGTGTTTAAACACTAAAAAAATACACAGGAATCATTTAAAATACAGTAAAAAGAAGTGGTTTTTATATAGTTATGAATTAAAACTTTTAATTCTAATTAATTGCAGAATTAGCAATATTTAAGGTTCAACAATGGTTTTCCTCCTTGATATTTTACTACTAATATTTTTAAAAAAAATAAAATTATCGTAATTTTAACTACAACTGAAGTATGTAACAAACTGTAAATGAACTCTTCTTTGATTTCCTTTTTGAGAAAACATAATGTGTGCTAAATTACATACTTGTGTACATAAATTAAGCACATTTAGAACGGATTGTCCTGTTTTATTAAATTTTGACAGATTTTTTAAAGGTCTAGTGAAATATATTTCAGTATTTAGTTTTTTCAGCTTTAATATGATCATTCTCATGTTTTAATCTTTATTAACTAATTTAGTTCTAGGGTTTCCTTTAAAAAAAAAAACAACAACTTACTAGTTAACACAAATGCAATGTAATATGATTTATTATCATGTTATTCCTTGAAGCAGTTCGCAAATTTTGCCTTTGAGTTACGCAAATCGAAAATGACACAAGACATTTATCACAATGTTCAGATCAAATTTTCTTTTATTTTAAGAGTTTTACTAATATATTTCTGACCTTCATTTGAGAGCAAGGAAAAACAGGAAATTCCTACTAAAATAAATTCATTTATAACGCCAGAAGTGCTAATTTACTGGAATTTTCTTACTAATGAATAAAAACCTTGATGGGAAAAAATTTAAACAAATGAAATAAGAATTAAATTTAATTATAGAAAAAGAAATTTACCTTGCAAAGGCAAAGCTTCAGTTTGAAATATCCTTTGTAAAGGAGCAAAATAAATAACTAATAACTGTCCAATAACAGATCCTGTAACTGCAATGAGGAACATCTTGTTGCTGCACAAGCCAATTGTAAAGATAGATTTTGTCTAAGAAAAGAAAGCAAGTTAGAATATCACCTCTTTTTTTCTTAAAAAAAATTTAAAAAAAAACATTTAAAATAGTAAAATTGTTTAATAGGATAGGTAGACACAAAACAAATTTATTTCACACAGTTAAATTTCATAATTTTTAGGTAAGTAAAAGTTTAATTAAAAATATAAATTTTAGTTAAGTCACTCTAAACAATGTTCCAAAACAAACAAACAAATTAAGTTTTATGCCATCTTTAACAAAATTGAAGGTGGTTTTGCATATTAGATCCACAAAGTAATGAGTTAGCATACTTGAAACTTAATAACAATAATGCTTCCTACCTGAGACCGACAGCTTAAAGCATTGAACATGTCAAAGAAAACAAAGCAAGTGAAGGTCATGGTAGTATCCCTTCTAGTTACCATCATGTCACTCATCTGAAACAAAATAATTTCAATTACTCTCCATGAATTGTACCAATTATCTCCCAGAAAAATTTGGCAGAGTCATTTGAATCGCTTGGATAATATTGCATGAGATTCAGGTGAAATTTTGCTGCCATTTAAAGAGATATAGTTAGCTATAGTTTTTTAATGATAAGTATTGCTTAATTTAAAGTATTGTTCCCAGGGAGGTCATTTTACAAGTTTCCAGAATTTACAATATATAACAGCACAAAAACATTTTATATTGCCTACATGGTAATTTGGGTGCTTTTCACTAACAATTTTAAATTATGGCTTATGAATGATTCTTTTATAAGTCTACTGAAGATATTCATTATTTTTTCCATAAACTAGAGTATGTAAAAAACAAGGTTTAAAAAAAAAACTTCTTAAAAATATAAAAGAAAATTAGTAGTTTTTTGTTCGCTTGGATCCGTTTTTTTATACATTTAAAATAAAAGGTTAAATAATATTTTAAGCACTAATCGTCCTCAGCAAAATGAAATAATTTTTCAAAATATAAGTGAATATGATATATCTATAACATTGTTAAGAAAATAAAAATATATAAAACCTAAATTAGTTCTTGGTGTAAAAATTTTTTTATGTAAATTTCAGTGAGCATATTGAATAAGAAAATCTGAAATATTAAACCAAAGGAAATAATTAAATTGTTTACAATTACCTCTCTTCGAAAGATCCACATGGTACCCGTAATAATGATTAAAGCTGATAATATGACATTTATAATCAGATCTTTTGTTATCATAGGTTCTTTTACATTTCTTGGAGGCTGTTTCAAAACATCATGATCAACAGGCTCAACCCCTAAGCTATGATACAAATGAAATTTGATTATGTTTTTGTATTACACATAGACACAAGGAAAGCAATCTGGAAATACATCGTTCGTCAAACATTTTTTTCTTGCCAATAATACATATTACAAAATGTTTTTAAGGTAGTGTAATTGCATTCATATAAGCGACAATTCTAGTAAAATAGTAATTAAGGGAGCAGTTAAGATTATATTAAATGTAAGATACATTTTATATTAGCTTATTTAGAGACGAACTTAATCAACTAATTTTAAAAAAGAGAAACATATATATATCCAATTTAGAAACTAAAGAGGTAAATCATTGAGATCAATTATTTGATTTTGAAAATCATTGAAATCAATTATAAATTTTAAAAGGGTAATACTTAATAAAAATCATTTATTGAATAAAACATAAATATCACAAGCATTTTTTTTAAAGGTTGTTCAACGATTCATGGATTCTTTATATTTTCAAAAGTTAAGCTTTACAAAGTCATCTTTTAAAAAATAATACAAGTAAATTATTGTCTAAAAGTTAAACAGCTAAAACAAAAAAGCTGTAACTGAATTTAAGAACTTTTAAAAAGGACTTAAAATATCTTTCTATTAAATCGTTTTCCAAATTCCTAGACAAATGCAATTCTCAAAAATAATTTTTTTTAATTGTTAGTTTTTCATAAGAAACTTGTTTTTGAAAATCTGATATTTTAGTAACATTAGGTATTCAGCACTAAAAAAACAAGAACGTTCTAAAAGTAAAATCTTTGAAATTCAAATTACAGTCGGACCTCTATTTAACTAAGTCACTAAATCCCGATAATAAGTTCGTTAAATGGAAAAATTAGCTAAATAGAATATCACCTTTTGAAATACTTAAACAACACAAAACAGGTTTCAAATTCATAAACACTAGTCATAATTATTACAGCAATTGATGCACTTTTATCTTGCAAACTAGTATCTATTATTTATTTTATAAATCTTAACCATATAAAAGAAATCTGCATGGAAAGTAAGAGTAGAGCAAAACATTATCCAGTGTTACACTATCATACTACATACATTTACAACTAAAAAAAGCTAAAATTATGTTTAAAATGATAGCTGCATTTATTATAAAAGTAATTTTAAACATACATCACCACGTGCGTTAAGTTTAATTGCTACAGATAAAATCCGTTAATTTGAACTGAGGTTTTCGTTTGAAATGCAAACAAAAAGGTAAAGGGAATTTACTGCTTTCTCTAAGATAATTTTCAGAGGAAACAGTAATACATTTCATAAAGCAGTGGTTTCGAACATTAATTTAAGGTCAATTCCCCCATAAAGTGCGTTAACAAGTTTGAAATGTTAAGAAATATTTTGGAAAATAGGGAAAGTGGATCTCAATGAAAAGTTCAATAAACAGAAAATTCACTTCGCTATTTGGAGGCTATTTTACGAAGAATTTTCCATACTGTTCTTGGTTCCTCGAAAAGATTTGTAAAATAGAGAAATTCGTAAAATGGAAGTTCGGTAAATAGAAGTCTGACTGTATATTTAAGAAAAATTTACCTTAACATTCAATTAAAAAAATTAATTTTAAAAAATTAAATGAGAAAAGATATCAAAGAATTATGCAAAATATTTTTATTTTCCCCCTTACAAAATTGGAAAGAGAACATATATAATATTTTATTTTACAATAAGCATAGTTGCCGGTATGCAAAGGAAAAAATCCAGTAAGTTTTACGAAATAATATAAATGTCATGCGTAATATTTTAAATAAATTAATTTTCAGAATTTTTATAGTCAGTAAAATAGAAAAACTACATCCCACTAATTACTATAAATCTAAATTGGTTGGAATATTCTCTATTTGTGATGAATTTCAATATTGATTGTTTTTATCATTTTACATTTAATTTTTTTTTAAATCATAAATTTCAACAACAATAGATAATGAAATCAGTTTAGAAAGTTAAACATATTGTACAATTAGTTTTAATAGAGTAGTAAAAAATATAAAAATTACAGAACAATGAACAAAAAAGCAAAGCTTATAACAGATAATTTTAAATTTGGCTTTCATCATTATTTAGCAATAATACTTTTTAAAATATTTATAAAACAATGAATGAACAAAGTAAAAAAATTTAATGTAGGATTTTTTTTTTTTCAATTTTAGGAAATTTTCTGAAATGTACAAAAGTTAGGAGAATTTTTGAATAACCCAGTAGATCAGCAAAAACTACCAAAATCCAGTAGTGTCTTTTATAATCAATACCTATGAATTAGGTATTGATTATAAAAGATTAATTTAAGGGACAAGAAGTTAGCATCTGATTACATCCACAAAAATAAAAATTACAGATGTTTTATTATTATTTTTTTTTACTAGAAAATCGAAGCTAAAAAATTTATAAAAACTTAAGATTCGTCTTAAAAACAAAATTTGGAAGCGAACTCAAAAGTTAAGTTTTCACAGCACAACTGATATTAACAGTATAGCTTGCATCAATGATTCATGCAATGTAATATATCCGAAACTTGTTTTGAGGAAAAGTTTGTAAAGTAGTTTTTGTGACATCATGCACAGGGTGCATTATTCAATAGTAACTAGGTAAATTTCACGGTGCATACAGTGTACAAATATTTATAATTTCAACTAAAATCACAAATAACGATTTTATTTGCAAAGTATTATGAAGTTACAAGAAAAGATTCATGGTTAATCATTTACTTATTTTGAATTCTTAGTAAAATGTCAAACCAATTAGCAATTTCAGAACATGTCCTGATTAGCACACTAAGAAAACTTGTTAAATGTATATTATGAGATCAAAAAAAAAGTTCACAAAAATGTTAATACAACACATAAGTAAAATAAGATTTTTCATAATTAAAAAACCTTTGAGCAGGTGGACCATCCATAATGATATTAATCCAAAGAATCTGCATAGCATTCAAGGGATTAGGAATGTGCATAAAAGTTGAGAGAGCAACTAATGACAAAGCCGCAATGCTCCTGCAAAGTAAAAAATTGGCTTTTACAATTTATAAAATATAAAAGTGATTTTCTTAAAAATGGATTCAGATAAACTGTTAACCCCTTAACTGCCGGCGTATATATACGTCTCGGCCAGACGATGCATTAACTGCCACAGGTTTTCCCGAAGTACGATGCTTTGCATTGCGCTGTTATAAATAGAACTTCATCCCCAACTTGTGAATGCAGTAAAATGACCTTGAAAATGTTTGCCAATGAAAGTGTTTGCAATGTATGCATTACCAATTTCAGAGAAGGCGGAAGGGGCAATGGGAAAGGGGTGTGTTGGAAAAGTTATATCATAATATTTATTGCTTGTGTGTTTCTATTTGAGTAAGGTCGGGCTTATTATTCCTTCGTTTTCGTTTCCCGTGTATATTCGTCGAGAATCTCGCTATCAGTGCATTGAATGTGATGTTGGTTTATGTGCCCAACTATGTTTCAGGATTTATCATACAACAGCTAAGTTTTAACATCCTTTATATTATATTTTTATTCTTTAATTTAAGTTTTGTATTTTCTTTTTTCTTCTCTTGTGAAAGTAAACTGTTTTTAAATTGCAAAGCGTGCATCTTTTCCTTCCACTAAAACACAGCTTATCAAAGTGCACTTGAGCGAAAAACAGTGGCACTGGGGAGTGAATCACGTAAATTTTACTCGGCAGGTAAGGGGTTAAAAAAGTGTATTATTATATAACATAAATAGATAAAGGTTTAAAACAGTTTCTCATTATTGTTGGCCTATTCTTATATGCAAGAAAATTGCAGAATTTGATTTCTTATTTAATAATCTAGATTATGCAAAACACCAATGATGTGAAATATAAAGATCCTGAAATCTTTGACTGTCATTATCATAAAATTAAGAAAAGTTATACGAGTGTCTTTTTTGGTAAAATACTTATTTTTTATCCCTTACTTAACTCTATTTCTCACCAATATTTATTTATCTTCATTCTGTCTATTCATATTTTAATATTTCATTCTACCAATGTTCCAAATTTAATGTTCAAAACCTTAAGCTCCCTTTATTCTAAAGTAATCCAATGCCATTAAGGGGATTATGTAAAATTATTATCTTATTTATAATGCAACATTTTAATAACAAGCCAAGCATGTTTTGAGAAACATTTAAAATTCCTACCTAAATCAAACTTGCTAACCTTTTTGATATTATTAAACAGTAAATAAAATAAATTAACTTTTATGTAAAACTGTGAGGGCTCAATATATGAAACTAAAATAATAAATGCATACAAAATTGTAAAATATTACTACAAATTAATTTTATTAAATAATCTATTTTGCCAAAAACAATTACGGAGCTTTTAGGGCAACCAAAAATTAAGTGGGAACTTAAACAGTAATTGTAGATGAAATTGCAATGGTAACCTAACAATGAATAGATTTTAATTTTATCCCAATAGAATCAGGAAGTACATCTGTGAGATCATCTTTCTATGTTAATTCAATAAAACATTTCAACTCTTTTAATTGATTACTTTTTTATTCCGATATAACAATCTCTTTAACGTAAAAGAATGAAAATTGATTGTGCAGCAATAGAGGCTGGTGAGCCTGAAAAACTTTAAAATATAAAAGTTACCAATACATATAAAATTGAAGATCTTTTGATACTTGTTTAAACATTAAAACATTAGAGGTTTGGGCAGTACATAATTTCAAAGTATATAAAAGAGGATAATATAAGTAGTTGAAACTTAATTCAAGATTTTCTACAGTCAAAAAGATCAATTATTCTTTCTAATATTTGAGATTTAGCAATAAGTAGCAATATTATTCAAATTTATTATATATATATATACATATTTCATTTATGATTTAAATAAAACTATTAAATTTAAAACTTAACCAAATTAAATTTTAGAGTTAAGATAATTTTGATTCATGTTTTTTGAAGCATATGTTACAAGCATAATAGAGGGCAATACCCACATTAATTTGATTATATTTTAATTACAGATATTATTAAAAAAAATTTAGTACAGATATTATATAAATTTTACATTATATGTTTATATTTGAAGAATGAATCAAAGAAAAATATCAATATCTTTTGACAAATTTTTTTTAAAAAAAGAGCAAGAAGAAAAAAAAAAAACACAGACTTAAAGTTTAGAATAAAATGGAACTAACACTGAGAAGGTTAAATCTTATACTTATTTTATATGTTACACGTGAAAAATGTAGAACTCAATATATAACAATTTGAAACAAGTAATGTCACATTTAATGTATAATTTCATAAATTTTTTTTAAAGATTTTAATAATTTTCTTTTTAAAAGCAGACATAACATTTTAAAATTCTTTATGAAACAATATATGAGTGTAAAATTTTTTTTCTTCTTTTGTGCAAGATAAAAGTTAAACTAACTATTTTTAACAAAACCTGATTATTTTACAGTTTCCAAGGATTTAAATAAGTTTACATTGATTTTACACTAAGAAAACAAGAGGTAAAACTTACGTGCTTAATTGAAAACGTACAAAGTTCCTGATGTTATAAAAGATTCCCTTTCCTTCCTCAATAGCAGCCCTATTATAATAAAGACACGATTTTAAGAGGATATTTAATAATATATAGCATGAACTCTATGAAATATACATACATAATGGTAAAGAAGTCATCATCAACTAATATCATATCAGCAGCTTCTTTGCAGACATCTGTTCCATTCTTACCCATAGCAATACCAATATCTGCTTTTTTCAAAGCAACACCATCATTCACACCATCACCAGTCATACCGACAATAGCCCCATTTCTCTGATAAGCCTTCAAATAAATTCAAAACAGATAAATAATTTATTCACTATTGCACATAATACATATTTGAACATTGTCTTAGAACATCTTGTGTGATGGTTCCACGAAATTTTCCTAAGAAATTTATCAATCACTTTAAATAAATTTTATACTTTCAAAAACACTCAGTTTAATTTGAATTGAATTTTAGAAATTACTTTCTAAAATATTGATGTGTGCCCAAGTGATGAAAGTCAATGCCCTGGTGAAGCAGAGGTTCTGAATTCTATCCTCGCAGATGAAAGAAAATATAAATATGTCGTTTAAGCTTTTATTTATTGTTTGAATATCTTCTAGAAACTTTTATTACATCATTCTTATATAACTGTATATAAGTTTCAGCATTTCAAGTAGAAACACAGTTACCTTGTTGTATGTATGTCAGAAGTGTTCAATAAATCATTATGACTAGTCATCTTGATTCTGTTCCTTTCCACGGGACAATATTTTAGAAACTATTTAATTGTCTTTTTTTTTATTTACTTATATATACTTCTTTCAAGAAGAAAATAAAAGTAGTCTTTTTTATATAAAAACTATGGTAATATATCAATCAATGTTATAAAAGTTTCTTGAATTATTTTTCCAAAATAAGATATTTAGAAAACATACTTAAATCTGGTTCAATGTATTTTATACTTATTTAATTTAACCATGTAATTGTTGCAAAGAAAAACACTGTCAAATTATGAATACATTAGTTGAAAATTTTAAAAATGTTTGTGTCTGCAAGAACATAAAAGACCATTTAAAACTTATGAAAGCACATTTTTAAATATTTATATCTTCTGAGATTAAAACTAAGGGAAATTTATGAATCCTCAATCAAGTTGGGAGCAATGCTATAAAGCAACAAGCTGAAATAAAACTTTTCCTTAAAAAATTTAATTATTTCTTTTTCAAAGATTTTAACATGGTCTTATATATTACACGCCAAAAGAAATTATGTAATGTAAGAAAAACAAGCTATAAAAAAAACTTTTTCAAATGCATTCTTAAAAAGAAACACATCATATTGATTTTAGGAAATATAAATGTCTTATGAACTTAAGTACTAATTTATTATATTTAAAAATAAAATATTTCAAAGAGATAGGTTTCATACTTTTACAATTCTTAATTTATGCCCAGGCCCAACTCGATAAAATATTGAAATTGAGTGTATTATATGAGCAAGTTCATCATCATTCATGAAATCAATCTTTTCTCCAGACAAGGAACGGCTGCCAACTGCATAAAGGCCTAATCTTGATGCTAAAAAATATATGCACCAATATATAATATTGCTAAAAAAGGGTTTAAAAGTAATTTTGGAAAATGAAAAAAGCATGGAACAAGATTATAAAACTTGTTAAATAATTAAATGCTTGTGAAAATTTTACCAATAGAGCATGCTGTGTCCTCTGAGTCACCAGTCAACATCTTAATTGAAACTCCACTTCCATGAAGTGTTTGTATGGCTTCAGCAACACCAGAGCGGGGTGGATCTAAAATACCCACCATTCCAAGGAAAAGTAAATCATCTAAAGATGATCCACAAGCAATGGCCAGAACTAGAAAAAAAGATAATTTTATTAACATTATGCATAAACATAAATACTGTACCTGTTGAGAATGTTCCAGTCTACATGTTCCAAGCTTTTCAAAAATAGACGTCCATTTTAAAGACTTGCCAGGCGTCACATACACGCATGGCCAGTCAACGAGCGAATGAAGTTTTCATCAGGTTCTTATAGCTTCACTCTCTTGTGATTATTTATTTAATAAATACAGCGTGTTCCAAAAATGACCAAGGATTTGAACAATTCTGCTTAAGGAAACAAAATCTTTAAACTTACAGTTGCTTTAAAGCTTGTCAACAGATGCTGCTACTAAATAGTATTAACTACAAAACTATGTTTTCAAATATATGTCAGACCATTACGACTGTAAAGATTTGCAAGGTCTTACGTTAATTTTGTCCACAATCAACATTGAGAAATATCAAAGAGTTGTTCCTGGAAAAATATTGTATTTTGAGAAGCATTTTGTAACTTTCCTTGAGTGGCAATGCAATCTGTTTACAAATTTTGTACACACAGCAAATTGCACATTGTATTTCTTCTGCTTTTCATTAAATGATTTTTCAAAATATGGGTTACTTTTTGGACACCTAGTACAATGTTTAAGGTCTATTATAACTTGTGATTTTATGTTCAAAACAACACTTTTTTTTCATGTGGGACTTTATTTTTAAAATGCTGCGGTTATTTTCTTTCAATAGAAATAAAATTTCATGAGTTGTAATTTCTACAACCTCAAAATTAAATAGGCTTGCCTTAAAACATAAATAATCTTAAAACTTTTTTACCTCTTAAACCTTTTCGTCCCATATATTGTGCTTCCTTCAAATACTGTAGATGAGTATCTTTAGACAGAACAACAGGCGAACCATGATAATTGTACTTTGTACATTTTGGTAGAAGGATTTCAATAGCCCCTTTCACAAAGTACTTTTCACTGCCCTGAAAACATAAAAAAATAAGATGTTTATTAAAAATTATCCAAAAATGAAACACATAGTTGCTTAATCAAAAAGCGTGATAAATATGTTTCAAAAATAATATCACTATTAATAGTAATAACTCTTGTAAGATACACGCTTTAACAAAAGAGCCTGACCAACTGTTAGTCACCAAATTCGATGATCTTCATACATGGTAAGATTTCATGTAAATATTGATGAAAATTTTATTTAAAAAATGAATTTTCTATTCAGATGATAATCAATTTTTTATGGAGTGAATTTTAAATTTACAAATAAGATCCTAAACCAGAATTACATAATAACATGTTTAATTTCCATTTCACAATAAATTGTGCATAGTAATAGCAAAGTTTTTTTTACATTTAAAATCTTATTCAGTCTAACAGTTAAATTAAAATTAACAATTTTTGAAATAATTCAGTGCCAAAGAAAAGAAAATGTCACTGAAAATCATTAAAAACTCAAATGGTAAAAATAAAATCAGATATAAAATAATTAAAAACATACCAGTCCAAACTTTGGTAAGCATTTTACAGCCATGAATTTCTGCTCTGAACTAAATGGAATTTCTTGTAGCCTGTTGTAACGTTCTCTAATACCCTGCATGTTCATCTGGAACAAAAAGAAATAAAAATGAAATTTTATATCAACCGATTGTGGATATAATTTTCTGGAAAAATAATTTATATTTCTTTTTATTGAAACTAAGATAAAGCTAACACATTCACACTTTTTATGTTAAATTTCATGGCTAGATTACGAAAAAGATCAATGTTTGTTAAAAGTATAGAGCTATAAAATTGCTAATTATTGTTCTTGTTTGAACCGTTGAGCCACTTTATATATATATCAAACTAAAAGAATTAAATCTAATAAAACAATATATAATTGATTAAAAATATTTTAGAGAGATTTGTTTTTAAAACTGTATCCATATTCCGAAATTAATGAAATAAATATTAATATATAATAATTAATGAATAAATATTAATGAATAAATTTGAATTAAGAAAAATGTTTTCAGTGTTTTTTTGAAAGATTGATATAAAGCATTTTTGAAATAAAGTAAAAGTATTTTTTATATAAATAGTGCTTATAGACTAAATTATGCTTATAAATAGTGCTAAATTATGCTTAATAATTCAGATAGGAATAATTCCAACAAATTTTCAGACATATTTGTTCTTGACATAATATTCAGACACAATTAATATTTAAAAACCTGCTTTTTTTTAAAAAAAATTAAACAAAAAAAATAGATATGTTTTATTAATTTATTTTTAATTAAGAAAAGCTTAAAGAATAGGCTCCTAACATAAAAAAAAAGAAGAAAACAGGAAAAAAGTTTTTTCCGAAAAAAAAAAGTTAAAACAGATTTTAAAACCTAATGTTACTGAACTTATAATGCAAAAAGGTTAATGTTTTTCACTAAATATAATTATTATTCTGTAATTATAAATATTATTTCACTAAAAAAATTATTTACATAAAAAATGAAATTTTTATAAAGGAAAATTCATGAATTTGGAATTTAAATTATTGATTATAATTTTGCTTTAAATCTAAACAATGTTTGTTATTAACCTCCACAAAAAGAAATCTCACACTTAGGTTCATTGGTGTTCAGATTTTGGAAGGCAGCTATGTTTAACTAACTTGTCAGATTGCATACCCCTAAATAAAAAACATAATTATTTCTGTCATGATGTTGCAATCTTGATAACACACCAGTGGTGGGAGAAAGCATTAGCGATGTGTGATATCTGTGCTATAAACTGCATAATATTCATACATTCTATAAAATTCAGTGCTTCCTTTCTTTAGTCAACATTCTAATTGACCAAAAAACAGAGCCGCAGCTCAAAGGATAGGCTTTCGCCTCCCACAGATTTGTTAGCCACTCTTTCATTGGCTAGATATTAGGTGGGCCAACATTGCTCACACAGTAAGGACAAATAGTACAGAGAAGGAAAGAACATCAATGCCTTGTCCGGTATTCGAACAATGGACTTTTCTGATGTAAGGTCAGCTCCCCTGACATAGTCCAGTGGGCATTTAAATCATAAAATCACTATATAATGATCACTATATACAGTGATTAATATAATAGTGTAATATCACTATATAATAAAACATAAATGTATAAGAGCATTTGAGAGACTCATAGAAAATTTTCTGACATGTTCTTACTGACATAACTTCAACTGAAGACAATGACAAAAATAATCAAAATTTCGGACAACTGCGTCATTTATGCTGAATGAATGTTTAAAGATATTTACCTTCCTGGCAGCCGCAATTAAGGCCCCCTCAGTTGGCTGGCCTCTCAGCTGATCGTCTATTATATCAGCATTGCTACATATACAGCCTGCCTGAAAAGACAAAACAAGTTTAATTCACATATACTTCAACAAACAAAACGCAATGTTAATTGCATCAGGAATAAAATTACTGAAGTGCAGCAATGTTTTAAACATATATATATATTAATCTTTTTATAAACCATGATACATTGTATATTATAAAAAAATAAAATAAAAATAAAAACTTGTGCAACTCAAGCTCAATAGAATAAGAACTACATTTGTGTGTTTTAGATTAACATATAAAAATTAATAATATACCAATGCAAGTCAAATTAACAGTCTAATACAAGTAAACTAAAATTTTATAGGCATTTAACAAAGCTTACTTCCACAATTGTTCTAACTGAATTCATCTGTTGAGAATGATTGCCAGGATCCATTATTTGAACATGACCAGATTCAGCATATCCCACTCCACTTAACTTAAACAAAAGATAAAATTTTAATAAAATATTTATTTTGGACGATAAAATTTATGCAATCTTATATTATGAAATGCATAAATATTTTAACTAAGTAAAATTTAAAAATATGTATGGTGCTTTTAAAATTTTTCTCACTTGAAAAATAAAATCTTTCTCGTCCTTTATTTAATCGAAATATAAAGATGATTTTATTATTCAGAAAGTAAATCTTTCCTTAGTAATAATTTTTAAATTAAAATAACAACAAAAAAATTCTCATTTGAAAACTCATAAATAACATGATTCAAACTTAAATATCAGAGAAACATTTTCAGTATGTTGGCATGTACTGTACTGTCAATATGTCAAAACAATTTAAAGGAGTATTAAACAAACTAAAGCATGTTGAATTTGGTTACATGCAGAGAAAATATGGGTGCTACATGAAATTATTTTTATATAAAAGTTACAAATTTCCCAGAAACAAAAGATTTGACACTCAGATCTTACTGAATTATATATCTTCAATTGTATGTATTACAAAAATAAAACAAATTTTATTTATAATAAGTGTTATTTCAATATAAACTAATAAAAAGTGCAACTTCTTCAGAATTTTTTTTATGTACTATAACTACTAATTTCAAAACCTTGTTTTTCCTCTTTCCCTAAAAATATGCAAAGTAAAACAGGATTTTGTCTTAAAACAAGTTACCCTTCCTTTAGAGAAACACCTCACACACTCAATAAATTTAATTGGTTAGTTTTTCCTATGTTTTGCATTCAATATTTTCCTAGTTGCACACACACCAACATTTAACCCCGCGCCTATGCGCCTAAAATGGTATTTATCAGTTAATGGTTAAGGTTGGAAGACAAGACAGATAGAAAAAAAAGAGAGGAAAAAATGGCAAATCGAAACAAAAAAGAGAAGAAAATAAAAAGAAATATGAAAAAAAAGAGAAGAAAAAAAAGAAACGATTATTCTATTTGTTAGGGCATTTGATTAAAAAGTATCCAGAGCTAATTGGCCAAGTTTAGCTGTGGTTGTTGCTCAACATTGCATAATTTTGTCATTTTTTCATGAAAATTATTTCAGGATTTCCTCCTATTCTTCTAGAAAATTAATCAGGTTTGTTGCCTTCTGTTTCAACTTTGGATTCTTATGGATGGATCTCTTCCAGGCTATGAGGAATTCTAGCTTTGGTTGTTTAAAGTGGTAGGATGTGGTAAGCGGACATTCTATTGCATAATGCCACACTGTTCCTACACCTCCACAGGCACATGTATTGTCAGTTGCCAGGCAGAATCGCTTTAGATACGCTTTAATGGGGCCATGCTCTGTAAAGAAGAGGATTAGCTGCCTATTCCATTCCAAAGGTTTAAATGAGACGCCTGGTAAAATTTCTCTGATTAATGTTCCTGATTTCGGTTTGTGATGATGCCAGTAGTGTTGCCAGTCCTTTTATATTTGTGTTTTAGCTTCAAGCTTAATGAATGAGTGTGGAACTTTGATGTTGAAAAATTGACCCGTATTAATTGCCTCTTTAGCTAAATTATCAGCTTGTTCGTTTCCATCATTGTTATTATGTGCTTTAATTCATGAGATTTGAAGGCCATTAGTATTATTAAGTAGATTTTGGATGTCTTGTATAATCTGATGAGTGGTATTATAATTCTTAAGTGCTATTATTGTTGAAAGGCTGTCTGACCATATTGCAGTTTGGCTTGCGATTTTTTGTTTTAATGCTATTGCTTCCGCCTGAAATACAGTGTTGTAAGAACTAATACTGAAAGAAAACACAAATAATTAAATTCGAAAAGGATAAAACTTCTTTGGAAAAAAAAAACGCGCTAAGAAGCAGCAGAAATTTCAGAAAAAAGTATCAATAAAAGAAACGAAGTATCTAAAGAAAAGTAAAGAAAGAAAAGTATCTTTTAACAGGGCGCAATTCTAGTCTTAACTGAGAAACCCCAGTTAAGCATTCTATTAATTTGTCTACGTATTTCTTTCTCCTGACCTTTTCCATTTCATTTTAAACTTCTTCTGCGCATTATAATAGGGGGCGTTGTTTTTTCAGTTTTTAGTGTTTTCTTTTCTTCTACTTGCTTTTGAAGTTGATGCTTGACCTGTGACTTAGTGAGTTTTTATTTTTCAGATGATTTTGATTGTGTTTCTTTTCTTAATTTGTTAATTATTTTGAATGTATCTTGGTTTTCCTGGACCTCTATACAAAACCATCGGGGTACTGAGGGAGATATTTTAAGCATTTGCTTCTCCCTCAATTAGAAATGGTTTTGTTTTTAATGGCTACCGAGGCCGGTACCCCCTGAAGACGTCGGCTTCGGTGGTCATATTTTTATTTCCTTCGTTTCTTTTATTGTAAGAACTAAGTTTCAATTGTGTGGCCGATGTAATTATGCCATCTTCATATTGTACAATTGCAGCACCCGTTCCATTAGCCTTCTCAGATCCATCTGTAAATATGTTTATTTTTCTTGTTAATCTAGCTTGTTTAATGAATATAAAATTATTTGTCTTTATGTTAAAATTGGCAGGGTGGATATCATTTAATCTAATTTTTTTGTCAATTTGAGTGGAGTGAAAACAGGTGCCATCTATTGTTGAAGAGAAATTTTTATTTCTGATGAGGTTGATTCTAATTGCCTCCTGCTGTAGAGTAATGTGTAATAGAGGTATTGCCAGAATAACCTGCAGGGCATTTGTGGGGGATGTACGATAGGCACCAGAGATATTCAACAGAAATTTTCTCTGAATGGTATCTAGTTTGTTTCTGGTGTGTTGTTTGGGATTAACACACCAGACTGCAGCTGCATGGGCGATCATCCTTTCGGTGCAGGTTTTGTTATTGATTCGTCTTTCGGTTTTATTTATTCCCCATTTTCCTCCAGCTATTCTTTGCCTGGCCGGAAATTGTCTGGCAGCTTTGTCTGCCTGGATGGTCAGTCCAGTTGAGGTTCTCATCAAAATTGAGGCCTAGGATCCTGACCACTTTAGATCTTTTAATTTTTTGCCCTTTGAGATGTACTGATGGGCCATTCACTAGTTTGCATTTTAGTAATAAATAGGTGGTTTTATCAGTTGAAAGATTTAGACTATTGTCCATTGCCCAAATGTTAAAATCATTTATTGCTTTTGTGGCCAGGATGCCTAGATATGATTCAGTGGAAGCTGTCAAGACAAAGCTGAAGTCATCTGCATCACCCTCCATTCATTATTTTAGCTTGTATTTTATATACAACTGTCAAAATGATTCACTTGTGTATGTATTTTCCATGCAATGAACAAAACTTTGCTTCTGTATAATGATAGATCAAAGATAGACTAAAAAGATAGTCTTAACTTTTTGTACAGTCAATAAATTAATTATGGTTTGATTAAATTAAAAGAAGTGGTTTCAGAAGCAACAATGACATGATTATTGCATTAAAGTACTTTATTTTGCAAGCTTTGGATGTAAAAGTCTTCTCAATATATTATAATTTTATTCCATTATTGATAGCAGGTTTTTTCGTTAAACAATAATTTAAAAAAAATAATCTAATAGTTTGAGAATTTTTCAAAATTGTTAATGAGAAAAAAAGAATTACCTCGGCATGATACATTTCCGATGTAACAACTGTTGTCACTGTCATCTCATTTTTTGTTAAAGTACCAGTTTTATCACAACAAATAACATTGACGCAACCTTGAAATAGAAGAAGAAAGATCACATAAAAGCTGTCTTAAAATCAAGCACTAATTAAATTTTTTTCAAATACTTAGAAATTTTAAAATATGGAATAAATTTTAAGGAATTGCAAAGAATAAAGAAGAATAAAGAAATTTTGAAGAATAAAGAACTGCATAAATTTTAAGATAAAATTATTCAAACATAACAATCAATGAAACTAATTAATTTACATTATTAGTTTTAAAGTTAACAACATCAGTATTTGAGGAGGATACAAAAACATCAAACCTTATTTCTGACCAAAACTAAATGACCGGCATGTTATTAAATAAAACAGTATAAAATATCTATAATTACAGATTCTAATAAACACAAAAAGCTTTTTATTTTTAAAACAGAAACACATTTTGTTACCAATATTTTTAACATATATTAATTGCTTATTAAATAAAAATACTTATTTTTTATGATAAAATTAAACTCAATATGTAGCATTAATTTCTTACACAATTAACAAAGGTAAATGGACATGAAAATCTTGGTGGATGAAGATTTGCATTTTTAAAAAAAATTTAGATTTCTTATTTAAATATACAATATAAATTATTTTAAAAAGTCATTAAAATTTGCAGATCTCAGTGGATGAAGGCACTAAGTTACAATCTTTGAGTGTTGGAGTGGAAGAAGATTCCAAATGCATAAAGCCACACTTTTGGATACAGATAAAAACACCAAAAATCTGAATCTATGATAGGAGACATTTAAATGTGTTCTAAAGATTTATAGATCTGCCCAGTTGGAAGTTTGCAGAGAAGAAAAGAAGGTAAGAGATAATTTTTATTTCCTAATATTAATGAATAAACTTGAAAGCTAGTTTACTTAAATTCCTGAAAAAGTCACATAGCACCTTTTCCACTCAGATTTTAAATTTAGGTCATTACTTTTGGCTGCTACATGCAACACACACAGTTAAACGCTACTTTATAAAACAAAATTCTCAGATGTTTAACCTTTTATATACATTTTAGGCTAGTTTCTGCTTATAATTTATTCTCTTCTTTGCTTTACAAAATAACATGGAGGCGTTTTCACACCCCTGCACCCAAAGTGATATGCAAACCAGATTTGCTAAGCTATAGTCATTCAAAATGTAAACATTTTACATATTTAAAGTCAAAGTATAACTTCACAATAAAAAAAAACATAATTTTCCTCAGGACATCTTTAAATTGAACCTTACCTAATGTTTCCACTGTGGGAAGTTTTTTAATGATGGCATTTCTTTTGGCCATTCTCATTACTCCTAAGGCAAGAGTAACAGTCACAACAATGGGTAAACCTTCTGGTATAGCCGCAACCGCCAAGCTGAAAAATATTAATTCATTTGAATAAATGAAAAATCTATATTTTGCACCAAATCATAACAGATCTGTATGTGATTAAACTAAACTGATACTGTAGTTATAACAATATTTGAACAATTGAAAATTTTACCCTTATAAATACAAAAAAGTATTATTATATAACAAATTATTTTACTATTCAATAAGAAAAGTTAATATGTTATATAGCAGATATATTAAAAAAAATTTTTTTTTTTTTTTGAAAGATGGAAAAAGTTATTAAACATCAAAATTATACCAATTATAAATAAAAAGACAGATAATCCCTCTCAGTTTTTGTTGCTCTGTAATTCAAAAAATAATTTATTGAAAGTGTTGTGTATTTCCAGCTTTACATAACTTAATCTAATTTAAGAGCTTATTTAATAATTCATGTGTTAGTCTTACAGAAACGCACACATGGAATTTTAAACCTAGAATAACTGAGAGGCCAGAGTGGTCCCTTAAGTATTTTGGTAGATATTTCATAAAGCCAGGTCGTTTTGGACATAAGGACCCTTTGATATATATAAAATACCTCAGTTTTATTTTTAAAAAATTAATTAAAAAAAATATATATTATTTTTACATATTTATAATTATTATTTATAGAGAAAGAGAAACTCAATTACCTAAGAAACAAATGCAGACTTACAATTGAAAAACCAATGTTCTGCTGCGCAATTGAAAAAAAAAACAACTTTAAGTGCTTCTTGATAGATTCTGAGAAAAGTAGCTGGACAACTTTTATTTTTTCTATTGCTAACGCTATGAACGCTAAAATAAGATTTCAGAAAACTGTGATAAAGTAAAATTTGTTTTTGTAAAATTTTTTTTTGCAATATGCAGTTCATCATGCAGAGATGAGAAATATATATAAATTTCTATTTTGAATTCTGTTGATTTTTCTTTTGCACAGCAGTGTTCCATTTATTCAACTATTTTCGCTAACCAAATCAAACAAAATACAATAGAATTTCGACAATCAAGCAAGTCTAAAATATGTTTTTATTAAAATAATTATGATTATACTTCAAGATTTTGAATGTCCAATTGATCTATACTCAAACAATATGGAAAGGGCGAACTGGCCCCTTCAGTCTTTCTAAATATACAGCAATGTTCAGTCTTTCTAGTGCTAATTAAAAATAAAAACTATGGAAAAAAGCACTAAAAATTTTTAATCACATAAATTAACTATATCATTTAATAAATTATAACTTAGTAAATAATAATCTATAATTAATATAATTGTTTATACCTAACACCAATATTAAACATTTCCATCAAGGGTCTGCCTTGGAACCAGCCAACTACCATAATTAATCCAATTATAGCAAATGAATATAATGATAACTGCTTTCCCAAAGTGTCCATACTAATTTGCAAAGGTGTTTTAGGAGCCTAAAAAGTGAGAAACACAAACAACATTACTAAATAATTGAAACACCTCAGCTATTTGAAATACTGAGAGAATAATTATTTAAATGAATAATGTAGAAACATTTAAAATTTCTAGATATCAACCTTAACATTTTATGTAATTAAAATGTGTGCTGACTCTTTGGACTAAGAATAGAACATTTCACATAGAATTTCCTATCAAAATATAAGCGCATATTTATAACTCATTTATATTAAATTTAAAAATACTTATACAACATCATTAGTTAAATCGTTACAACAATAGTTACAATAAGTGCATGCAGAAGAACTCTCAAAGATATGTTTTTAAAATTTAGAAATATAATTTCCTTCCGTTCGTTACTTATACCTTTTATGCAGATGGGACACCAGTGTCCCTTTTATAATTTCTTTTCTGCTTTCCTCGTTAAGGGAAAAAATATATTTTGACATTTTTTAACATAAAAAAAACAGTGTAATAGTTCCTAAAAAAAAAAATCAATTCAATTATCAGAATTATATTTGTACTAAAATATAAAAAAAGTAGCTGGAATTTTTTTTATTATTAATTCACATTTAATAATTTATCAATAATTGATTTTGTAAATTAAAGTAATTGTAAATTTTGTAAATTATTCAATGATAAATAACTGTTTCTCTTAAATCTAATTGATTTCGAATAAGAGAAAATTTGAAAAATTATTGCTTTGAAGATTTTACCTTTATTACGAAAAGATACGAGTTTAATGTTGTAGTTCACAACCATAAATTATTAAAATTTTAAACATAATAATTTTCACTTATTTTTCACCTAAATTAATACTAAATAATGAAAAAAGAATAAAAAAATGTGTTTAATAAAAATTCTAAGTCAAAGGGATAAATACAAATGAGTAAATAGTAAAAAATAATTTAAATGAAACAACAAAATACAATTGTAATACTTATGTAAAACAAGCAGTTCTCCACAACTTAATTTCAGTTGGTATTATATGAGTGTATATTAAAATGCTACATGCAAGCCAACAATAGCAATAAAGTATAATTTAATTGTACTTCTCTACAACTAACAAAAAAAAAATTGTAACAAAAAAGTAAAATTAATCTATACATACTTCTTCCGCTTGCATCATTTTAAAAACTTCCCCAAATTCTGACTTTTCAGCAGTAGATATAACAATGCCCTAAAAGTATAATCAGTATCAAATTATTATCAATTGGGAGAATATCATCGTTGCATAAATGAATAGTATAAGAAAAAAAAGTTTTAAATAAACTGTAATTAAAAGTCAAATATTTTAAATATTTTCAAAATTCTAGTTTTAGACGAAATTTTTACAGCATCATAACATAATAAATAAGAACAAGCTCATAGTAACATTTTTCGATTATTTAGATATTAAGCCTTAAACTTCCTGAATGTTTCTGCAAAAAAAAAAAAAAAATGAATACTCTAATTTTAAAAAACATTACAATATATTAGAGCATAAAAGATTGATTACTTTGAGGACAAAATAAAAAAAATCTTACTCTATGAAAAATATATTTCGGGTTGCAAATATACCTTAATACATAAAATTTATTCTCTGCTAAAGTAAAATCTCAATAAAAAAACTTTTAACAGCAGGCAAAATAAATTTTATTTATTGAAGAACTTTTACCTTTCATAAGAAAACATGGTTCTTGCTCAATTATTTAAAAAAAAAATTAGGACTTTTTTAGCACTTTTTTAGGACTAGGAAAAAAAAATTAGCACTTGATGTAAAGTAAAAATAACATACTTAAACTATACGTGATACTAAAAATGTACAAATAAAGTGTTTAACGATTCATGAAGTAAAAATTGTATAATTAATATATACATGATGCAAATTGCGGCTTAATTTTGTCACAATCTTTTTCCTCAATTTTCTTTTTTTACTTAAGTAATTTAATATGTTTCTCATTTTTAGAACACACTTGCTTTTGTTTTCTGACATTAATTTTGGATTGATGCAAGCAACATTTCTTACAACAGAATAGTTTATTGGACATTTCTCCAGTAAAGTTTCTAACATTTTGGTGATAAACTTTCTGTAATCTTTCTTTATATTCATATGATCTCGGTCAGAAATAACTTTTGAGGCCAACAGCTGCTTTAAAATTTGGTCACCTTTAAAACCTACACTGATTTTTGTCAGAGAGACATAATTCTTTTCATCACAAAAATTAAAATGGCACAGTTTCTCCAGAGAATTTAAGTTTTCTATAGATTTTGTTTTCAGAATATTATATAACTGCACACTATGTAATACCAAATCCTGGATATCTGCAGCAAAAAATGGTAAAAGTGGCCGATCTGCTTGATACAGTTTCAAAAATGGTGAAACTAGCTCCGACACATTGAAGAAAAAGTTCAGCTTAACAAGAATTAATTTGTCTTTTATTGCTTCTTGTAAAGTTAAAAAGGATTTACATTCTACACTTTTCTAAACTTGCCAACATTTTTCACATAAGATTTCAGATCATTCCAAAGCAATATTGCTCTTTCAGCTGCAGGTGCATTTTCCAGCCAACGGTGGTTACAAAATCTTAGTGGTAATTTGTTCTCAGTTGATTGATTAATAAAATCTTCTTTTCTTGTGGGTGAATCTTTAAAAAGATAGAAGATTGAGCTCAGGATGGAACCAATGAGCCATTCTGTTTCAGATTCACCTTTGTAGAATGCGTTATTTAAAATATGAAGCCCACAACTTCCTATTGCATTGCATTGAACACCATGTTCTTTTAACAAATCTTCTTGAATATTATTATAAAACTTCCAATTGACAGCAGGACCGTCCATAGAAATCTGCAATAATTTCTTAAGGTCTACATTTTTGACTGATGCATAAAAGCAGGCTAAAAGGTCATCTGCTACAGAATGGCCCAGAAAAGCTGATGTTAAGTATCGCGTCTCTACAATGTTCTTTACTGGGTTCCAAAAGTGGATATGTATATCCAACTGCTTCTGCTGTGTCGCTTTGTTCAAAGACTCATCAAAAAGCAATGTATAAAACTTGGCATTATCAATGCACTTCAGAAGTAGCATGCTAAAATGAGGTGCAAGTCCAAAATGACAGAGATATGCACACTTAGATTCACTGCAGGTGAAATGATGTGCTATTGAACTGTCTGGAAACATTGTACTAAATAATTTTCCAGTGTCTTTGGAAGAATTGTAGGAGTAGTAGCTTTCTACAACTTTTAAAGCCCATAAAATCTCAGAAGAAAGAACTTCTTTCCCCAAAGCCCAAGAATCTTCTAAAAAGATGGAGGCAGCAGGAGAGCTGAAGGCAACAGAATTTAAGGATTTAGGGAAACCGATTTAAGGAATCCGATCACTCAAAAAAATTTTCAAAACGCCAAAATAAAAAATATTTAGCACTTTTTTAGCACTCAGAAGAAATTTTAGCACTTTTTAGGCCCTAAAAAAGTTGGGAAAAAATTTTAGCACTTTTTTAGGACATTTTAGGACAGCAAGAACCCTGGAAAATCTGAAAAATTTAAGCATTGCCATACAAGTATACATTAAGATTTATAAATAATAAATATTAGTTGCACAGAGAATTATATGTGATAATTTTAAACAGTCTAATTGAACGCTTTGTCTGAAGAGAAAAGTTTCGAGTTTTTAGTGCACTTAAAAGGATAAAGTTAGTAGATAGATATAAAAATAAATTTTTTTAAAAGATAAAAAATGGCTAACACATGTAAGAGTAAATATTAATTTTCATGGTACATCTTTCTGAGTATTCTTATAGTAACTTTATAACTAAAATCCAAATAAAGCAAGTGATATTGCAAATTATTCTTACTTTCGCAACACCACAGCGCACCAGAGTGCCCATAAAGGCAACGTTTCTCCTACTTGTAATGCCATTGGTTTTTTCTAAAGGCTTTGTAACTTTATTAGAGGGTTCTGTTTCACCTGTGAAGCTGCTCTCATCAATTGCTAAATCTACTGCCTACTGAAAATAAATTCAGTTAGAGTAAGTTTTAAATGAAACAAGAAAAAAAAATCAGAATTAGTCATTTTTATGCATATTTGGCAGCTTTTTAATACCAATTATACAAGCTAAATACTTAATTTGAAAAATAATAGTTTTTCTGTCAAAAAAAATTAAATTACAATTAAAAATGTTTTGAAAACATTACCAAACATTTTATGGTTTATTTAAATTAAATGTCATTATATATTTTTCAAAAACATTGCTTCATATTTTAAAAAATTTGCTTAACAGATAATTGAAAGAAAAGATAATGTCAGACAAAATAAATAAATGCAATCATCATAATTTTTTATAAATTCAATATTAAAGCTGAAAAATGAAAAACTTATATTAAATTCTATGGATAAAGCTGGGTAATTTTATTTTTACTTGGCTTATAAGTCTTTGTACTTTGATTTTAGGTCTTTTTACTTCATCAAGCGAACTTCTATCAACAGAAAGAGCTGTTTCTGCCCCCCCCCAAAAAAAGAAGTTCCAATTATAAAAATTTAAAAGTCATATTCTCCTATCTTCTAATAAATTAAGCTTCATTAAATGAGTATGATTAGTGATTTAAAGTACAATAAGAAATATGAAATATTTAAATAACATAAGAAATATTTTAAAAAATAAGTTGTAATGCTATGTTTTAACACATGATAAATGATTCTATTTGATTAATCTTAATGATAAGGAAAAAAAATTGTATTGTATATACAGGCTTGTTAAGGAAGAGCAGTATCCACAAAAACATACAAAAGAAAACATATATATAATAAAAAACTACTCCTTGAATGTCAAAAATAAAATTTAAAAGTAAATAGATAAAATAATACTCTTAAACTGTTAAGGTTCAAATACTGTAAGATTTAGTTATTTTAAAGATAAGATATTTACACTGTATACAGTCAAACATGATGCTTATGAAGAGCATTATTTCACTTATTGTTCTTAAATTTAGGTCAAAAAGAAAGCTTAAAAGGTTTCATATAATACTTTTCAACTCTTAAAATACTAAGTAAAATTTGTAGAAAAAAATTCCTGATAAAGTATTGCTTTTACACTGAATAAAATTCAGGAAAGGCAATTTTATGTATAGAAAAGCAACCAAAAACAAGCAGAATTGAGGGAAAATAATTAATATCCTAAACAGTTATGTTGTTTTTATCAGTCTTTTTTTTCTTTTTAAAGTTTTAGTAGAACTAATTTTAAGAAAATACTAAGACTAACATTTGAAAGTCATTCAAATGTTTCTCAAATGGCAAAAGTATGGCAATACATTTTTAACAAGTTCAAATAATGAAAAAAATTCTAATATAGAATCATAATTTAGATCCTCTCCAATTGTAAGTAAAAGTTTTGTTTTTGTGAAATTTTAGATTCGAAACACCTTGAAATGATTAGCAGTACCTCAAACAGTCGTAAATCTGCAGGAACTCTATCACCAATGCTAAGTAGTACGACATCACCGGGTACTAAATTTTTTGCTAAAAATGTTTCCTGCCTTCCTTCTCTAAGGCTAAAAAGAAGAAAAATGTTATACAAACATCTCTTTGAAAGAATTAACTTTTCCTTTATAATATATAAATTAAATAACACTTTAAATGTTTGGCTTTTTTAAACATTTACATCTAGTTTTACTTGATTAAAAAAAAAATTCCATAGTTATTTAATGATAATAAATTTCTTATTCAAATATATAAACTCTTATTAATCAACAACAAAAAAGGAGTTGATAAAGGAAAAAAAAAACATTTAAACCATTCACTTAGAAAAATAGATTTCACAGTGTTACAAAATTTTAACTATCACAATTTTGTCCTGCACATACTTTTCAGCATCAAATAATACTGTGTGCAGTAAAAATTTCTTTTGGTGAGTTGAACCTTTAAAACATAATATGATGTATTTATTAATATAAAATTTTCAAGAACTTTGACAAATAATGAAAAAAGGAAATAATTAACTAAGTACCAATCATAAAGAATAATTTGTAACATGGCTAAAAATAGGATTAGTATGTATAGTTTAGTATGCTTATATTACTAGACATGATTAAAAAAATATCTATGATATTAGTTATCACCTTCCAAAATTACAATTGTGATTATGGCAAATTTTGACTGTTACAAATTAGTATTGTAAAAGATAAATGTAACCACACATTTTTATAAATACTTATTACTCTTCTAAAACCTAATTTGATTATTTTAATAATGATGTGTCATTGTAAAGAGAAAAATCAAAGTTATATACTAAGTTCTAGAGACACACAGCTAAGTGCTGTGTGTCTCTAGAACTTAGAACTGTACATTACATACATACTCAGTTCTAGAGGTCAAAGTCTTACATACTAAGTTCTAAACACACACAAGCACTAATTCAGTGGGAAAACTAATAGAAAAGTAAAAGAGTGGTATCTGTAGTACTGTAACACTTTGTTCACCAAAAATTATTATAAAATAGCACAACTACTTTTTTTTAATAATTACATAAAAATTATGTCCATACACATACTAAATAAATGTATCTTTTTAAATCGAAACAATGTTGGGTATAATAGCTAGTATCAAATAATGAAAAAATTACTATCTGATAAGAATAAACTTTACTACTTTACCATGTACAAGTTGGTGGAACAAGCTTATTAAGTTCTTCTAATGATTTCTCGGATCTATACTCCTAAAAAAAGGGGGGAAAGCTTTTAAAAGTTGAAAATTTTTTCACATTTGTACACATTATTTATTTTGCTACTTCATTACTACTTACATTAGTAATTGTCACTAAAACAAGCAGAGACTCATTGTGAAATTTTTTATTGATAATAAACTACAGACAACAGATTTGCTTATGGATATTGGTTTTTTCTAAAGAACAAGATTATAATATTACATAAATTATTTCTTATTCTTTAGTAAGTCATTTGTTTAAAACAATAAATATACAGTCCCAATATATTATTGTTTCAAAAAAAAATTATACAGATCTTGCAGAAGGCAATTTTTCTATTCTCATAAGTTAATTATTTCATAGATGATAATAGGAGAAACGAGTTTTATGTAGCAATAATAGTTTTTAATTGTTCATTTGTTAAACTTTCTGTTCCAATCAAATCTGTTCCAATCAAACAGTAGTACAGTGACATATAATAATCCTGGTAAAAAGCACATCATGAACTGAATCTTCCTTGACTTAGATTCAGTACACGTGCTTTTCACCAAAGTGGAAACAAAATACAAGGAGAAAGCTAAAAAAATACAGGAAATTACATAAGCAACTGTCCTGGTGTCATCATCGGGTAGACTATATTTGAGGGTGTCATAAAAAGGGATTTAAGAAAAACATTTCACTGCTAGTACGACAGATGTCATTTTCGATTCGTATTTCGTTGAATTTATGTGCCGATGGAGGTACACAGATTCTATTCATGATAAATTTAGACAGTATTTAACTGTTATTAAATAATTCTGTGCACCTAAATCTGAGAATATTCAAGCTTATTGAAGAGTTTTTTTTCCTTTTCTTTTTGCACCTACTCCATTAATTTTTGCTTCGAATTAAAATCCTTTTTATTGGGTTTATTAATTTTGTTTATATTGGATTCATTGCAAGTTTTGGCCTATGTTTTGTTGAAATTTCCCAATGTTTTATTGAAATATCATTACATTTTGGCCGCCATTCCTGTTAACACAGTGTTCTGCACAAACAGGAATAGCACCAAACATAAGTCGCCAATTTCGCCATCGGGCACCCTCAAGTATATTTTTCCCACATCATCTCTGAAATAACTATAAATTAAGGTGACAGATCCATCTACTGTATTAATAATGAAAATTCATCAACAGACTGATTGTTTGAAATACGTAAAGATGATTTTTTACCCTGTTGTTTTTACCTAAGAAAAAGTTTTCACTTTGTTATTCACGAAAAACATAATGTATTCAGGGAAAATTTCTGAGCAAACTTTCCCAAAAGTGAAACATTTCGATGATTATGAAACAATTAAAATTATTTGCTCAGGTAAATTCCAGGCTTTCAACAAATTTGAGATGATTAGCTTTGTAATTCTTTATTTAATTTATTTTCGTAATTTATAAGAAATTTTATTCCATAGTATTAATCAATTTAATTACAATTTAAATTTGAATTCAAAAATTTTGTGACAGAAACATATACAAACATAAAAAAAAAGATAATAACGTAAGAAAACTTACCTGAACAAAAGCTACAGTAACAACGATAACAATAGCCTAGATAAGAAAAAAAAAATATATTCAGAAAAAATGCAATTTGAAAATATCTGACATGAAATGAAACAGAAAAATTGAAACAACAATGTGTGACGTAAATTCTTAGAAATTGATAGTTACTTACAGCTGTTATGCTAAATGCATCATCAAATTGTTGCATACATATACTGACCAATGCAGATGCAAGTAATAAAACTATAAGTGGATTTTTAAACTGAAAATAAAGAAAAACACATTAGTGTATAATATATTTTCAAGAAAATAATTATGGAAATATTTAAGACCCTAAAAGCTCAAATATTTCTATATTTTATATAAAAATACTTGAGATATTGAAAATTTATATAACTTTTAAAATATTTGAGGTCATAACAGTTTGAATTTTAGTAGCTATTATTATAATTAATAACATAATCACTTAATTACAATGACAATAATTATGTTTTGTTACTGCAAATATTAAGTTTTTCAGTTGAAAAAAGAACTAAGGTTAATCACATCATTAAACAAATAAATCAAACTATATAAAACATAAATAAGCACATAGAGCAATTTAAGCAGCCAAAATATCAATCATACTTCTTTTTATTTATTAATTACTTTTTTTTATAAAGCATAAAAGAAAGTTTCCTTGATGAAGCACTTAGGAAATAAAGTTTAATTTTAAAGTTTAAATTAATTGTTAAATAAAGTGAAAAGTTTAATTGCATAATTTTTACATATATTGTGGCACAGCAATTTTAATTATGAAACGGTTTTAGAGTTTCTTATACGCAGACAACATCAAGACAAACTAGGTTTTCTCTACAGATTAGTTGAGATTTTTATCCTCAAATAATAGGTTATGAAAGTTATTTTTAAATACACACATATGCCAACCAGGCAGAATTAACATCCAGGAGTATGCTTAACAAGAATTCAGGAGACGTAGGAAAAGTAGGATATGCATATTTGGAACATCTAATAAAATATTTTAGATAAAAATTATATAAATAAAGGGATAAAAAAAAATTACGTAAATTTAAAGCAAAAAAAAATTTAACATAAAATTGAAATATAATATTTACATTAAGCATTCATTAAATTTGTTCATTTTTTTATCAACAAACACAGAAGCAAAAACATAAAAAAATAAATAATAATAATAAATAAATTTTTAAAAAAAATTTGGAAAATACTGGCTTTCATTCCTAAAATAAGAATTTTTTTTATTCAAAAATAATAACATTTACTTTCTAACATTATGGAAAAATCCTTGATACTGTAATAAAAATTTTTTCAAAAAACTCTTAAAAAATAAACAAATTGAAGAACCATTTTATTTTAAATAAACAAATTCAATTAATTATATTACAAATGTATAAAAATTTAACTAAGTATAAAAATGACCTTAAGCTATATGATAACTGCTAAGCCCTGAAATAAGCATAATAAATATATACAAATAGCAAATATTTTTCATTAAATATATGAAAACGAATGATGAAAATCACAATGCTATCCACATTGTTTCTGTAAACAGACTACCCTTACATCAGTTTGATGCCAACGGCTGAAAAAATATATATAATGATCCATTTGTTGCCAAGAATTGAAAGAAAAATGCACTAAAAAAAACAGCAAGGAAAGATATAAATTTCAACCATCTAGTCAGATTTTACTGCAAATCAGATGCAAGAAACTAACTCGTGACAGTTGAAATTGATATCGTATTCTGCTGGCATCATCTCATTTATTTATCCACAGAAAAGGAAAGGGAAAAGATACAGATGAGACCTATATGTCCAAAGGGGAAGGTTAAAAAGTAGAGTGAAACAGAGAGGGATATCGTTCAAGAGTGAATAAAAGCATGAGCAACTGCACTTCAGCCAGCTGGTAGTTTGACAACAGGGGACAAAATGTTACATGAGGAAAAGGATTTTGCACAGAAAGAAAAACAAAACTTCTGCTTTTGCTGAAAAATCTAGTAATTTAGAATTTGGATTCTCCATCGAGATTTTTGGATAAATTCTGGGGAACGAAAGAAGCACATAAAATTCTGGAGTCACCTGCAAAATGAGGGAGAGTTGGCATGTCTGTACACAGGATTCATTGATTCATAGCTTCTTGTGTATAATATCCATGATTATCATACACAGGATTCATTGATAGCTAAATTTAAAACATTGTTTAGACCAAAATGTTTTTTTTTCAGAAATTTTTAACTTAAAAATTTTCAAAAAATTCTAATATAAAATTATATAAATTTCTTAGAGATTTTTATAGTTTCAGAATTAATTCTAAAAATACTGCTATGTTAATAAGTTTCAATTAGCAAAATTACATTATTAACTTAGTGTAAAATAAATTACAGCACTTGAAATGAAAAATATCTTATAATTCTTGTGGATTTTTTGGAAGCAAACTTAGGAGGAACAAAGTAAAAATTTATTGCAGTTATTGAATCTGAATTTTTTTAAATTGAACAAATAAATAAAAATTTTAGTAGTAAATAATAATATATTTCTATTCATTTTTTCTCTTCATAAATTTCTAATATAAAATTATATAAATTTCTTAGAGATTTTTATAGTTTCAGAATTAATTCTAAATATATTGCTATGTTAATAAGTTTCAATTAGCAAAATTACATTATTAACTTAGTGTAAAATAAATTACAGCACTTGAAATGAAAAATATCTTATAATTCTTATAATAATACATAAACAATTTTTAATATCGTTTGAAATATATTGTTATGACTCATTTTTGATAAAATGTAAATTTAAAAATTATAATCATATTAAAAAAATTCAACTCATTAAAAACTAAAGTTCTTAAAGTACCTTTAAAAAAATTAAAAATCCTGAAAATACATAAAAATGGAAGAATCTTTCGTAGAACAAACACCATTAATATAAATTCAAGCAGTATATGGGCAATTCCACGAGATTGTCAACTTTTAAGTGAAATTTTTTTTTATGAATTGCATATTTTAATTTTAAAAATATGTTCAAAAATAGCCAAAGTCTACATATTACTGTTTAATTTTTGATAATTTTAAGTTTTTTGAATCTGGCAGCATTCTAAAGTAATCACATGGCTGACAAGTGAATTCTTCACATTTGTGCTCAAATTGTTTTCTTGAAAAATACTTATAAAATAAAAGAAATGTATCTTTCTTTTGCAATATTTTGATAAAAATATGCATATAGTACAAAATTTAAACATTTAAAACATAGCCTTTAAGTCATTTTAAGTTTAATATATTAAATAAAAGTAACTTTTTTTTGTGTCATTCCGTCACATGTTTTAGTATATTTTTTTAAATAGCAACTGCGTTTTTGAATGAAAATGTGTATATTTTGGAATATAAAGCAGATGTGGCATAAGAATCAATGAGAAATTGTAAAATTCTATGCATTTGATTATTAACTTCCAATAATTAGCGTGACGGAATGACACATCTTCGGCGATGGAATGACAAAACGAGTCCTTGAGAAGCTTAGTCAAAAACTAGGGAATTATTTTTTTTTCAATTAACCTAATGGCTAAAACAGCTGTTGAAAGACAGATAAAATGTTGAAAAAGACCAAGATCCCCATGATATGATGAAGAAAAAAAACAGAGAAAGAAAGGCAGAGAAGAAAGCTTCCGCGACAAAAGTTGGACTTAAAAAACTCAGAAGTGCAAACGCTGTTGTGCAGAGATTGTGTAAACAAAGAAAAAATCAAATTCTACCAATCTCTTCACATACAAATAATTTAAATTCCCTATACAAATTCCTGCAGAGTCTTGGTAAAGCCATAAAAAAAATTGTACACTCACCATAAAAAAAATTGTACACTCACTTCCAAAATCACCAATAGAGGTAAAAAAATTAATTCAGTCTTTATGTGAGAAGTATTTAACATCGAACTCAAAAGAAACTAAGTGAGAAAAGTAATGTTGATGAGCTGTTTAATTTGGTTAAAAAAATTTTACTGTCAAGATGATGTTAGTTACAAGCCCCCAAGTATGAAGGATTCAGTCATAATACAAACTCTGACAGAGTAACGAAGAGTGCAGATGCAATATATACTTATGGCCTTAAAAGAGGCTTTTCATAAAGAAGCATATATTGATGTAAAGTGTGTCTTATCTCATTTTTGTTCTTATTCTCATTTTTGTTAAGTGTATTTCATTAATACCTCACAGCACATGCACCTATAAATACCATGTAATTGTGATGTTGTTCTAAAAGGCCAAACAAGATGTTGGCTGCTGTAAAACGGCACATAATATGTAAAAGAATTTTATGATTTCATAAAGTCGAAGCAACAAATCGTTGAAGTTTTGTTTTTGTCCAGCTATTCTATTTAAGAGAGGGCAAAAGAGAATGACTTCAGCTAGACACTTGCTACATTAGCATTGCCAGGAACAAGAGACCTGCACTAGATGCTCATGTAGTTGAGAAGCGAATCATCAAAATTGGAATGCTTTCTAATTTTAACCAAAACCAAGTGTATGATTTGAAAAGCCACTGTTTTGAAGAGGAAATGGAAAATATGATTGAGGAGTATGCGGTCGGCTCTTTAATCATTGTCCCATACTGCGAAAAAAAAGAAGGCACATTTATATGCAGCGCAAATTACTTTGATAAACAAAGACGATTTAGATGTTAAAGTATTTAAAGAACATGGGACAAAAATTGATTTATGCATAAATTTCCTGAGAACGAAGATAAGATGTGACATTGGCAAGTTAGATATAAAACCTCTTCTGAGACAACCTAATTTTCAAATTGTTGAAATTTTAACTGATTCTTACGTAAATATTAATTCTGTTTATCTGTTACATTCTGTTTATCATTTACATATTAATAAAACATTTTTTAAATGAAGACTTTCTTCCACTAAACTTTTTGTCATTCCGTCACGGTCATTCCGTCACAGCAAATAGATGTTAATAACTGCTAGCCAACCTGAGGTTAATTTTCCAAATTCACAATTTACATTGCTTACACATTATACTAAAAGTAAAAAATAGTTCAGGAAAATAATAGTTGCAAAATTCACAGAAACTACCAGTTCTAAGCGGCATGCCGAAAGCTTGGTTGCCAAAATGTCATTCCGTCACACAAGTAAAAAGTTCATAAAATTAAAAATAAAAAAAATACAAAATTCTTTTTTTTTAGTTTATGAATCACATTATACCAATAATAATGATATGCATGAGAAAAAATCACGTTTATTTTAAATTAGATGCATAGAAACTTCAATTAATTGTCATCATGCAAGTCAAAATGTCATTCCGTCACATATGGAATTGCCCATATATAAAAAAAAGGTGATTAAAACTTATACAAATTAAAGTAACTATGAAGCATTTTTAAGTTCCCAATAAAGGCTTTATAACAAAATCGAAAGTTAAATCGCATCCATTATTAAACTAAAAATACAAAAAATAAACTGACTTGTTCAATATATTTTTTCCAAAGAGGTTCTTCTGGTGTCACCTCAAACTCATTGTATCCATGAAAAGAAAGTCTCTGATTGGCCTCGTTCCAGGTGAGGCCATCATGAATATTTGTGTTAAGTAATCTTGCAACTTCATCATAAGTCCAGCGACACGCCTCTTCTGATCGCAAGCAATGCATTCCTTCTTCGTCATTCGGTTGCTTCTGAAAATAGAATTAAACAATGCTTTTAAACATATTTCATAAATGAAAATGGAATTTGTCTAATCAAAATAGTGAAAGCGTGAAGAATCTGATGGAAGAAGAAAATGGAGTTCATAATCTACATAAAATGTACCCCCAAAATAACCGGTTGTTAGCATCAAGTTGGTCATGGTACCACATTTTTAGACCAATTACATCATGGAGGCAATTTGTTTGCATTGAACACTCAGTTCCTTTGATTTTCAGACAAGTTGGTATATAGCCTTCGATATGAACCACCCAACGGTAATCGATCTGCAACTGGGCGACCATCAACTCGCCATAGGGAATAGAATTTAAGTTCTACAAGTATGCAATGAACAGCCAACACAACATGCCATCACAATTCAATTCTCTATATTATTCATAGAATATTATAAATCCATTACAGTAAAAAAAAAATTTAAGTCAGTAAAGAAAATTTTTAAAAACTATATTTTATTTACAGAATATTTCTCAGATTCATCAGCGTTTACATTACATAGAAAAAGAATGAATTAATATAAACAAGAAAAAAATTACATCTTTTAATATTAGAAATAATGATATCTAAGTGTAAAACTTCCAATTTAATTTAATTAAACTAATTGATACACGAAATTAACTTATAATAATCTCCGGTACTTGAATATAAACGATGAATAGATTTTTTTAAAACTTAGTAATATTAAACAGAGTAAAACAATATTTAGTTTTCTAACAAAACAATGTGTTGTTAATGAAAAGTGAGATAAAAAGTTATCCAATATAATAAAGATTAACAGCAAATTCACTATAATTCTAAAAGAAGGATTTAAATTTTGAAACATGTAAAAGTGAAAAATTTTAGTTATGTTATATCGGCTGTTGATAACATAATCTACTTTAAAAATTTTTGTTGCTTTGTTTTAGAAATTTTAAATATATAAAGAGTAGATGAGATTCAGAAAATGATATAATAAATCATGAATGCAGCACCAATATATTATATTTTGGCACTTCATTTAATGCATGACATGTTTCACATCACCAGAGTTTTTAATTTAAACTAAGACTTGATTTAAGAAAAAAAAAGGAAGAAGTGTACTTCCCCTATAAGGATTTAAGTGTTTCATAATTTTTGCCAAAAATACATTAGGTTGTAATAATAAAAAGTCAACAAAAATAATATTACACAAATATAATAAAAGTCATTGAAACAAGTCTAACAATAGGAAGAAAAAAAACACACAGAAATTACGAGGCAAAAAACTTTACTAAGTATTGATTATTTTAAAAATTACAAGTTTAATATTTCTTCAATAAGTACACTGATTTTTAAGTATTTCTCATTCAATAATACTTTAAACGTAACGACGCGAGTTTAAATATATGCAAGCTTAAAACAATACACAAACAAAAATTTATCATTATTATCAATAAATAAACTGTATATAACATATACCCAACACTACAAATGATGATAGAACACTACAAGTGACAATAGTATGATAGGATATCCCTGAAATTTCACTCCGAATCATACAGGTGGTTTTAAAAAATTATCGCAAAATAAGGAAAAAATGTAAAGTTTACCAACAACTTTAGTATACTAAGTTTTAGTCAACAAACTTTCAGTAAATTTTATATGAGTCTGACGTGGCTATTAAGATAAAGAGATAAAAAAGTAAATAAAACTCGGCCCATCATAAGAACGGTACGGTGTCAAACTAGTTTTACATTTGACGCATGATTAAGCAATATTTTCCTGCTTTAAATCTGAATAAAATTGAACAACCGCAAAAGAAAGTGAAGGGAAATATAAGATAACTATTAGAAATGTGTGTGTCAGAGGAGAGTAAGTATTGATTTATAAATCATTTTATTCAAATATGCCAATTAGCGTCATGTTTATTAACATGACAATTATCCAATTAAGTTATTTGATTTCGAAGGAAATCTATAATGAATCAATTTTTTTTATTAAATAATATGATAAATCAATCCAAATACGTGAATGTTTTTCTCACACTAATTTAGGTCAGTCTTATGATGAATACTCGATGAAATCAAAAAATTATTTACAATAGAAAAGGAAGACTAGAAAAATAATGTCTTATCAGAATCTAAACATTAACAGCTTGTGGCGCCACCTCGTAAGCAGAAAATAATATAAAGGAAATTCAACATCGCACTAGCTACGTTTTCAATTTAGCTCATTTTAGTCCAATCAAAAACACGTTATGTTGACCTAAAAATTCATTTAACATAAGTGTTATAAATTTAACATTTATAGTAAAAAATGGGTGCTTGTCGGTTAGGAGAAGCAAGCGGAATGTTGTCAAAAAATGTAGACTTATTTTTTAAACACATAAAAATTAAATTTAATTAAATAAAATTTTAAAAAAATTAACTAAAATAAAAAAATAAAAATTAAAAAGCGATTTTAAAATAAAGTTATTAAAAAAATTTGAGTAATAATTATTACATAAATTTTAAAATATTAATTAAATTTTTAACTAATCGGTAAGTTGCGAATAATAATAGTGAATAATAATAACAGCGACTTTTTCCCCCTTTTTTGTTTCTTAACTTATTTTTCGAAAAAAACTAAATTATCAAAAAAAAGGAAAAATTCATTTCTCGGGGAAAATTTAGTATTTTTAGTGAAGCATATTTATGTTTAAGACATTGGTTATAACATTCTATAATGTGGCAGTGTTCTCACGTATGTAGGCTAACATTAAACATACATTTCCACACAAATACATTCGGATCATCCTCAGGGATGTTTTCCAGACCGTCGCCAATAGCCCATTGTGCAGCTCTAGTGCGACGTAAATGAACTACAACTACAACGTAAATGAACTACAACTACAACAAAACGATTACTTTAAATAACGTTTGATTCAGTAAATGGACTTTCAAGTAATGTTGCCTCATTTTTTTTTAAAAAAGAGAGTTAATTCAATCAATGCTGATATATTTTTAGAATACAATATCAGATAACTTTCTCTGAATATATGCATTTCAGTATAGATTCTGTTTTCTTACCGTCAAAATAGTGTTACTTTACTTTAATGAAGATTAAAAAAATTTCGAACTAAGATTTACAATTTTTCTTGTCATTTTATACTTGATTTTTAGCGACAAAATCTAAATTAACGAAATCTGCCAAATAGTCCCCCCCCCCTACAAAGAAAAGTTTTTTTTCTTTCTTTTTTTTAAAATTGTCCGGAAGAACTTTTGAACCAATAAAATACTTCCAATAAAGAATTAAGTCAACGAGAGAAAACTTTAAGTCAATTTTGACCTTGCCTATTTCACACCAAATAAAATAATCATTATTATTCTTTTATTTATTTATTTTTTTACATTTAATAAGCTATTTTAACCAAACACATTTTGAAATAACATTTGAAAAGAAACATGCAGAATTCATTTATATAAACATGTTATATTGAAATCTTAAATAAATTAATTTGAGCTCACTCTGAAATTCAAATAAAAGTTTGGAATCCGTGTAAAATTACGATAAAATAAACTATTTTTGTAAACGCTTATACATTTTAATGCTTATAATTTTATAGTTAATAAATTTAAGATAATTTAATGTGATTTAAAATAACTTAAATGTAATATATTTATTAAGGACTGCAAATTATTAATGTATGGTATAAATGTTTTAAAATTAATTATTTGCATGTAAATGAAGTTGTAAAAAATTTTTAACAAATTTAAAACCTGCAATTTTAGTGGTTTATTTATTTATTTCTTCATTATTTTTTTTAACGTTAGCATGCTTAAAATCTACAATTTTAGCATTTTATTAATCTTTCATTATTTTTTTATATCATTTTACCATATTTTATTGATCGAAAGTATTAATTTTGAATCTTTTTATTGAAGATTATTAACAAATAAGAAAAGCTTGTATGAAATAATTTTAAATTGTTTAATTATCTTTATTTAGCACAAAACACGTTATTTAAGCTTTTATATATAGCTACATACAAACTAACCATATTAACTTATATATATACTATATTAACTTAGTCATATATTCTTTATATGACTTTTATTCTTCTATTCTTTTCATAAATATAGCTTTCAATTAAATTAACTTTTCTTAAACAGAAATTATAAATTCTGCAAAGGAAGAATTAGATAACTTTTTGATTTATTGATAATACACATCCTCGAGCTGCTTAAAAACAATATTTTATTAATATTGCCTGGATGATGATGGCAACTGTTTCCCCAAGTCCTGCTCTATCATTAAACCGATTTCTTTTCCTTTTTATAGTTTTGTTCCTAAAATCATTTAAGATGAAATTTTTTAAAAAATGATGTTGATGAAACAAGCGAAGCAAATCTATTATATCACATTTTTTGTTACGATTCCATTTCGTCTATCATCTCAAACCAAATATTAAGGCACATTTCACGTAGAAAATGAAAGTTATTTTAGCGATAAAAAAAAGAGATCCGTTGTACTTGTACACTATTAGCGATGAATAAATAGAACTAAAAGCACGTAAACACGCAGACGTAATTAATAGAATATGAATTCAAATTGTATATTTTTATTCTCACAAATAAAGAAACAATATTGCTGTCTAACTTTTGCTAAGTCTTTTAATTACTTGTACACATTACACATCCGTTACACTTATCTGTAGATAAGAGGTGGGGGTAAAAATAAGAAATACATAACGGAAAGGTCAGACGAAAACACGAAAGTAAACTGTTTTTTAGAACTAGGTTTCATTTTGCTTCTAATGGGGAAAACAAAGGTAGAGTCATTTTAGGGTAACGGATAAACTTGTATTAGAATTTTTCTTAACATTTTGAGTTATTATTTAATACTTTACATAATGAGTTAATAAATTCATAGAAGAATTATTTAATCCTAATCTAAGCACAATTAATGAAAAAAATTAATAAATCTCAACTTTAAGATTTAATGCAAAATTTTCATTAACATATTTTTCATGCTTCAT